TTCCACGGAAAGAGGACCTTGACAATTTTTGCAATGTCCGCTTTTTCATTGAACATTTTTTGCTAAAACCAATTTAATGCTGTACGGTCGAAAAATCAACACAATCTCTGTGGTAATTGTTTTGATCACAGTATCCCTGAAACTCTTGCTTTGATTCTAACCTGTGAACGTCGACTTGCATTCTCTAGCTCAGATTTCTGCTTGCTGAGGATTGTAAAAAGACATCGTCAAGTGTGAGTGAAGCCAACACTTTCGCTTGAAAACCTACGAGCTTTGCTCTAGTTTGCGCTGTAGTGCGTCTATACCTTGCCTCCCAAACTGTGAATATGCAAATAATAGCAAATAATATGTGATCTCCAGCTGCCAAGGACTGGCCAATGAGGAGAAACGTCTCTATAAACATCAGTGAGGAATTATGCTCATTGCATGAATGCTGCACGTCTTCGAAAACAAGGAGATCGGCCCGCCGCTCTAAACAAAATAACCAGATACTTAATTCCTCCCTTTTAAATCACTTCTTTCGTTGGTTTCCATCTCTAGGCGTTAGAACAAAACAAAGACAAGAACGACAACTAGATATGTAAAATAAGTCGCCATGAATTGGATAATGGGATCCGATAGAATAGACTTTACATAAAAGAACAGAGTAAGAAATATATATGAGAAAATCCCTTACTTACCTTGAATAAATTCCGTTCTTCTCATTACTAGTTTTATCATCAAAACGCGTTCTTTGACTCATTTTCAAAAGCACAAATTTATCATGCGTTGTTATTGAGATAAGCAGTTTAATTCTCGAAGCAATGAATTCGCTGGCTCTAACACAAATTGTACTCCCGTACTTTCAAATCGAGGATTTTTAAAAATTTTTTTTAAATTTAATTTTTTTTTAGTTTTTGCAAGAAGTTCTGAAGTGAAAACTCTTATATAGTTCTCAGGAAATAAAAGGGATCGAAAGATTAAAACGGCCCGTCAAGTAATGGTCGAGCGCAGAAAGACTCAATAACAATCAGTGTGGTTTCTTCAAGTAGCCGAACCAACCAGACTAAAAAACGCAACTTTAATGCAAATCATGTGAAAATGAAATAGCTTTAATCGGTTTTTTAGTGCATGTGCGTCTAAAAGTTACAAAATAAAAATACAATTATATCATGCTGGACCAACTTAACCACTTAGCAGCCAGCCACGTTACGTAACTAAAAGTGAAGCGTAAATGAAAAACACCATTTTAGTTGACTTGATATCCCCATTTCATTCCAGTAAAGGCTAGAAAAGTCATAGACATCTTTGGCTCGCCTACATTTTAACTTAAAACGTGGTGACCAATTAAATCAAATTTTAACGCTCTCGTACCCGTCTTTCCTCATGTTTTATTCCCGCTTTGCTGAAGCATGTCCAAAGAAAAAGTTTTAGCTTAACGTTCATTCTCTTTTATAAGACAGAGCAACAGAAAGCTGATCATCAGCAAGAGTCTTAATAGAATTTTTACCATTTTTCTGGCGGTTCAACTTTTAGCAACCTTAAACATGGAAATATTCATTTCGAGCCGGATCATTTTTAATCGTACAGCCAAATTCATCGAAATCTGTAGAAAACAGAACCTTAGGAATCTCTCTATCGTCTCTCTAAATAATTTTAATTCATGTTTGATGCAAAGCTAGATATCCTGGCTGGGTGTCACTTTCTGAGTGCTGTACATTCCGAGCGTTTTTGAAAGAGCTAAGGAAACCAACAATTCGCAAAAATATTTTTGCTTTGGATAAAAGAGTGCGACCACAGTAAGTTGATTCGCCCACCATGCACTCCATAATTTCTATTCAAGAGAAGTAAGTCCTTTCATGAAGCCTTGATCCGTACTCTGAAGAAACTTATGAATAAGACACGTGGGACTTGAATAAAGTGCTAATTAACCCGATCACTCAATCATTGCATACTAATTTCCGCCTACAGCAAAATGAATGTAAGACTAAAAGCTTTATCGCCTCTTCATCTGGACATGATACTAGTGAGTCTGTGGAATTTAGGTTTGTTTGTATGTCTTCTTTTTGTATAAATATTGATTGTTTTAATAGCGGAATAATAATTTAGGATGGATGTCTCGTCATTTGATTATCATAATAAAAATTCATGCATTATTCAGCAGGAGGAAGTTACTTACCTTTGTTATATCATTCACTGGTGAAGACAAAGGGCGTAGAACTTCCCACAAAATTCTGTATTTTAACGCCCTTGGTTCTAAAGTCCATGAGAAACGTGAAATACTCAACGTAAAATACTCAATGTGAAATACTCAAAAATAAAAAAAATTAAAAAAACCGAAATTCATAGTCATCTTGTTATCACCCTCCTTTATCATTTTTGGAAATTACCAATAAGTAAATAAGAGCCCGGGCGCTCAATAGAATCGTTACTGGAAGAACATGAACTTCTTGTAACACACAAGAAATTAGTGAAATCTGTATTTCAGGCCAAATGGACCGGACCACTCTTACGGAGGCTCTGTCTCAATGTGTCTATATTGTTTGTACATTATAATTTTGATCATTTCGTTATTTTCGCTAAGGGAGAGAAAATCCTGTAATTGACTTCCTTTAGAAAAATGTGTTTGCATTGACTGCGAAAGCTAACAACCGACTTGACATTTAAATGATACCTTGTTTAAGTCGGATTCACAGCTGACACGGAAAAGAAATCCCACCAACTGCACCGTTGACCAGCTTTGCACAAGCAGCTCTACCTCAGGGTAGAAACTCAGGAAATCCACAGAAAAATCGCTAGCTTTTCTTTATATGCTTTTAAATAGGATGCACGTTTGACGTGCATTCCAGGTGAAGACGTTGGTAACCTATCATTAATTCTGGAACACGTTTCCCTCCTAATTACTAACATGTTTCACTTGCAAATCATTAATCATGCTCGTGTCACGTTTCAAAAAAACCCTTCCCTACCCTCCTGAAAGTGTGAGATTGTTTTTGTTACAATTCAAACCTTTCTTTCCGCTTCACCTGTGGAATGGTATTTTTGTCTCTGTTTGTTTCCGCCTCATGGAACTTCTCTCGATAAATATTTGGTGCTTTTTAGCGTTTGCGCTTTTTTTCGGATTGGAGGAAGTAAAGATCGAAAAACAATCTTTATAAACATACTGCCAGACCGTTTAGGAAATGTCCATCCACAATGCATACATGCACGTTGCTTGGTTTAAGAGATTGTAGATTTTTCTTCGTCTCCAAGAGAGAAAACGAGAAACGTGCCAAACACACATGCACATGCAGCGTGAGACTACATACCAGTGCAAATAACGCAAAAAGAAAATGTCTTCCTCACCTTCTAATCGACCTTTAAATATGAGTGTCCATTAGAAAGCCAGTGTTTCACTTCCAACGGGATTCAACCATCTATTATTCAAAAATTTAACATATGGAAGGGGGCTCTTACTATTGGTAACGCAATGAACAAACAATTCGTGGGTGTCGTGGGATCTCGTGCGAATGCTGGATGCGATCTTTCCCCTTTCTAATGCCTTTTCACCCGCGGGTATAAATAGTCTCTGTGAATTATCGAGGTCAGCAAAAGGAAATAAATGCTGAGGCAGTGAGTGCACCAGACCACAGCACGTGCTGCCGGCTCTTGAGCTTCAACCAAGATTTGTTTCAGAATGCTTTTATTATTTTACAGGAAACACATTTTGTGAGTAATCTCTTTAACAAATTTGTTTGTGAAACCCTTCAACCTCCTTTTTTCCAACTGTTTAGCTTTAAATACTTACTGTTTCCAAATTTGCCAAAGGAGCGAAGTTTGTGAGGAAACCTTCTTTGGGCTCTGACCAGTGGATTGTTACATTGCTGCAAGTTCATACTTGTAGAGCCTCTGAAGACACATTGTTGTTTTGCCTCGAAATGACTATATAGCAGTTATGACCGAAACGAAAATCAATAAAACGAAAATCAACGAGAAAGTTATATAGATTTATAGCTACGGCTATAACTGGCTAGGGCTGTTGCCAATGACCCATATCTGTTTACATAACACAAAACAACATTCAAACCATAATAATCAAGGGGGGTAGTTTCTAAAGAAACTGTGGTGCTGCGTCGGTGGGAGAATATAGCAAGGTATTTGATATTATCAACCGAGTTGGTAACGGAAACTGGCCACCGTTAAGAGTCTGAAAGCTGACGTTTTGACTGATAGCCCTTCAATTGAGTGAATGACGAAGGACTAACGCTCGAAACGTCAGCTTTCAAACTCCTATACGCTATCAACTCGGTTGATAATACCAAATTACCTTGTAACATTTAAACCACTCAATTTGCGAGGAAATCTTCATGTTTATTTGATCAGTTTTTCCTTATATCTTTTTTCCACAGCCGCTGTTTTGTTTATATAGTCGATTTAGTTTTATTTTTCTCCACCTCGTTTCTGCCAAGTCGTTCAAAATATTTTGTGAGGTAACAGTAGAATTTGACATACAAAAAGAATCCTTCTATGGAATAATTAATATCCAGAGAGAATTAATTTATTCTCCTGTCAGAACTTGATTGTCAATTGACAGAGGTCAATAGTTAACGACAGCACTTACACATAACTCAGAGCTCCCCTTCCCATCTAGCAGCCAAGGTTGTGCACGAGAAAACTGGCATTTGTGAAAGAAAAAACTGGCGTCCATGCATCCATTCGTAACTTAACGAATGCAGACATACAATATGACTGCACTTACAAATGTTACTTTATCTTATTTTCTCGATTGCTGATTATTCCCAGTGTAACAATAAAGGGTTAAAAAAAAAAGGACATGGTTCCGGTGTAATAAGGAAAAACATGTGCATTAGAACGTTGGAGTCGTGTCAAAGTCGTCAACAGTGTCGCGCGCTCAAGTCACATTCGCGAGAGCCGTATAACAGTCGCGAGCCGTGTCTCGCTCAACAGTCGCTTGACGATATTTACATCCGATACCGTAAGAGATATATCTGAGGAAAGGAAAGAAAAACAGACTCACTTCCAATCAGTATTTTTTGGATACTTTTACTAAACAAAGTACTAATATAATTTAGATCAAAAGAATGTTAGGACCCGCCACGTATTTCCTGTTTCTAAAATATATTTACTGGCTACAAGGAATAGGTTATTGACTCAGATCTAATAACTTGAAAGTATTTGTCCTAGTATTGTCTATTTACTATTTTAATACCACTTCTTACTTGGACTCTGTATTTGATATCTATATCATATGAATAGCTAGACAAAACACTATGCGCCTATTTCTTTGAAGCCCTGCCTATACAACCGAAAACTACTGTAGTCTTTCTTCCAACTGAAAACCCCTACTACGATTCTTAATATTTTTTTTTTCAATTGCCGTCTTCCCAAGCTTCCTCTGTGGGAACGATAGGGTTAATTTGTTGTACAATCACCTTTATTTACACGCATCCAAGAATGAAAATTGTGTAGTACTCAAAATCAAATACAACATTATAAATGTGTTGAACTCTCCTAAGTGGATAAGGCGTGAATCCTAATGGTTCCTCTAACGAAAGATTCAAAGGTCAGAAACAGTGCAATCTTTCTTTAGGCATGAAAAATCATCGATGTCTTCTATCTGCCAAAGATGCGAGACTTTCAGACTTCATTCAAGGTTGCGGTTGTAGTTGATTACTAAGTTTTGTGTCAGAGTTAAAACGGTAAATCTTAAAGCAAATCGACTTTACACAGGCCTCTATCAGTAGAAGTTAGCCGTGAGTAAAAAAGTATTGTCTATCAGGAGCTGACAGTTCATATGCCTCGAAGAAGCCTCAATAATGATCACTAGTAGCTTTTAAGGCACAAATTGAAGCTCTATTGGCAACACACGTGCTTCTAGTGAAGTAAAAAATCCAGCGAGGAAAGCCAGTCTCAGACCATTTCTACTTGTACTTAATTCACAAGTCCTCATCTTCGATGGCGGAATTAAAATTCTTTGAGGACGTCCTTGGCATTGAAAATTTATTATTCTTGGCAGAGTATGGTTTGGTATGACTCTTCTGGTTGGAAGCGGCAGTGATCTCCTAAAGAAAGAGAGCATATAAGTTTACTGCTCAGCGGTCCTCCTATTCTCATGGTATTGGAACGTACAGTTCTCGACATACTCTGGCTGGAAACTCCAGAGCATTAACTAAATTTAAGAAGCGGGCAAGAAAAGAACTTCAGGGCACACATCAGGTAGACAGGAAATGATTCACTGCATGGCGTAGTTGTCAATATGTATGATTAAGAATCACTGTAACTGTTTTTCATCTTAAGTTTTTATCCCTTTGTTTAATTAGCAACATCATTGTATATTATTATCAAGTTGTAAAATTAGACATTAAAAGTGTATTTTAGGAGTATCTAATGAATTATCGTATTGTATTGTTTCGTATTGTATTATAGGAAATCATTGACTAGGAGCAACCGAACATATAAATTTCCCCTCTTTTTTCTGGACATGTCCCGTGGCTTATCACGTTTCGTACCCGGCTGAGATCACAAGTACTCAGTACATTCACAACAGAACTGTTCATAGGAGATGAACTTTATTCGCCTGTCCCACGATGGAGTCACTTTGGATGTTGGTCGCGACGTTTCGACAACAATACTGTTAGTCTTCATCAGGCGATGAGGTCGATTGTTTACGTGTCGCTATTTGTAGCACTTTCTATTTGTAGAATTGTACATGTATCTTATACACACTCTCATAGTGAAGTATTTCGTGAAATCTCCTGCGTTTTGATCGTCACTCAATGTTGGAACGGGTACAAATCGACCAGCGGGTTGGACACGAACCAACACAAACGGGATACGAATCGTTTGAATTTGAGTACGAAATGTCTGATTACAAAACGACTGGTTATCGTCTCTTGTGATGGATGATTGACAAACGTTTGGCGAAACACGTTTTTTAGCCGTTTGCAAGATGTTGACTTTTGGCATTTGTGCTAAATCAAGCTTTTTTTGATTCATGTTTTCTCGAAAGGAAATTTGAAAAACGCAGAAAATTCATTTTTAACTTGTTGAAATACATCGTGTAAATGGCAAGTCAGTACACAGGCGGCCCAAGCTCCAGCTGTGAGATGATCATCTTGCGAAATAAGAGTCATGGCGAAATTATAAGAGTTTGTATGGGAATATTTTACGACCGCTCTTAGGAATAAAAAATACAGTCAAATTCTCAATAAAAATACCTCACCTTACTTCCACAGTGCATCGCTTGCTATCTGACCGCTTACTATGTTGAAAAGAACCCATTTTGGCGAGTTATCCATTTCTAGGTTTACTGCGTAAATAAGAAAAGCTTCTCTTGCGTACGTAGTAAACAGAAATTGATAACTCGCTAAAATGGGTTCCTTTCAACATAGTAAGCGGTCAGATAGCAAGCGATGCACTGTGGAAGTAAGATGAGATATTTTTATTGAGAATTTGACTGTATTTTTTATTCCTAAGAGCGGTCGCAAATATTCCCATACAAACTCTTATAATTTCGCCATGACTCTTATTTCGCAAGATGATCATCTCACAGCTGGAGCTTGGGCCGCCTGTGGTCAGTACAAGCAAAAATGACAAACAAAATCGGGCAAGGAAATGCGAATATTTGGGTCACCGCTAATCAGTCTAAATTCAGATGTCTTAGAGAGTTTTGTCTTGTTTGTATTCTTTCACGTGAAACCTCTTACGGAAGAGTATCCATATGGAGGTTCAGTGGAGGAGGACTGGGTAAGAGGTACGACGCTCTCTATAAAAGTAATACGAAGACACTGTCTGGAACAGTCATAGCGCTAATGTAAGACTTGAGTTCCGTAAAAGGGAGGAGATTTCACAAGATAAGGTAAAGAAAATAAAATCATGTTCAATTTATGATACTACTTGCGACGAAAGCGAGTTACGTTGAAAACAAAGCAAAACAAAACAAACACATCCACGCTCGGTGCTTCAATGACCACACTGAAGTCGATCGAAGCTATTGAAGTATGTATAATGTACGCGTGACACAGTCACAGCTTGAGTAGATATCGTTCACCTACCGTTTCCTGTGAATCTGTAATGTCCCCAGTTGCTTCTTCTGATGGCATGTTTGCCTTTATTCCGCCTGGATACAATGGTAAAATACCATCCTGTAACAAACCAGTTGGCAATTAGACACATCGTTTGTATCGTACCCCACAGTCGTGGATGTTAAAGCTCTCCACATTTCATTGAAAAAGTGAACACAGCAATCAATTGTAAGGCGGGGCTCGGGTGCTGTTATTAAGAAGATCAGTTACAAATCGAACAAAATCTTGTTTGGCAAAACCTCTCCAAAAGAAAACAACAACTTACGACTGCCGTTAATTAACCCTTTAACTTCCATGAGTGACCAAGACTGAATTTCTCCTTTCAATATCAAACAAGTGATGCCGGAGAATAAGAGAAAAATTTAAATTAGGGAATTACTGGTTGATCCAATACCAAATTCTCAGAATTAACATCATGAGACGAATCGCATGGCAGGTAGTAAAGAAAATCACTCATTAGATCTTAGGAGTGAATGGTTTAAGAGAGCGATCAGTAAGCCCATGCCTAACTACAAAAAAACATTTCTCGCGGGAAAACTAAACTTTGTAACTAAGCTTTCTAGTTAAGAATACTATGGCCTTGCGTATCGAGACTTTTCGATGAAAAAACAACTTCGCTAACTTTGTGGGTCACAAGCCTGTTGAGACCAGATGGAAGCATTTCAGTTTCTTGCAAACCTATCGACTTAAAAGTCCAGTCGATTTCAGATATATAAAGTTGTGTATAAAGTGCCCCATTCTGAGGTAACCTTGTTATTCATTTCGATCTCAGCCATGACTCTGTCAACGCACGCATTCATATAAACATACTGCAAAAAAAAGACGAAAAAAACATTACGAAAAGAGCCCTGGTCAACAAATGTAACATGAAAAACAAGGTAAGGCTGGTGCACAGTCCAATTTCTCACTGTTCCCCACCATGACCCTCATACACTCGACCACACGCACTGGGGACGATATTTTACCCAGTCATTCAGACAGTCACCATTCATGTCAACCCTATCTATGGCGACATCGATTTCAGATAACCTTGGCCTTTAATATTTTCCCAATGACCACACGCTCTCGACATGTTGTAAAGCGACCTCTTCTCAATTAAATCACAACGTTTATTTCTTAATTAGTGCCGAGCCGATGAGGTTCTCGCGCCAAGAAAATGACGAAACGGGCTAATTTCGCATTCTTTGTTTGTTAAGATAATTTCATGGTTTTATAACCATTGAACTTCTCATCGAGTCTTTTTTCATAACGTTCTCAGCGCCATTGTTGTCTTGGGTTAAAACAATTCCGCAAGTCTCGGCGGCCGTCGCGATCGCTCACTCTGCTAGGAAATATTATTTAGTTGGCCGGTCATTCATTCACGAATGGAAAAAGCACATAAAATATCTACTTACGTATGTGGAATATACTTTAACCCATTTTGGCTTTTTATCCCCTTTTTTGTACTCAAAACAAAATGCCATTGCTTCTCTATCAGCCTCCCATTGTGTCAGCTCCTCCCAGTTAAATGTGTGCTCCTGCTCCTGTTGAAACAAAGAAGCCGGCCAACTCACTCGCCATTTTAATAATGATAACAAAATAAGTGGGATTTAGCAGAGGGCGTTCCACGAGGTGGCTCTTCTTGTCCGCTGTTTCTAGGTAGAATTGGACCCGGAGAAAAAACCCTCGGAGCAAGGACGAGAATTAACAACAAAACTCAACCCACATGTGACACCAGGTCCAGGAATTGAACCCAGGCTAAAGAGGTAGGAGGCGAACGGTCTCTCCACTAAGCCATCCTTGTTCCCTCCCATTTCAAAATATTTGTTGCTACGACTTAGAAATCTCTTAAATATTGCAGATCGTGACGTCAAGAAAATTGCAATAATAGGAAAAAAAAACGCTTCAAAAAAAATTAGGTGATGTATTCTGTCCCTCATATTGTTTTTTCAGTTTACAAATGCCACAAAAACTACAGGCATCAGAGGGTCTCAATAGGGTGATGGCTTTTACGGCTACCGGTTGAAACGCTAGCCATTTTACGGCTAATGGTTAATATCATTGCATTGTTGTCACCAGAAATTTTTTTAAACGGTGAACTTTTTTTACGACTACCGGTTAAAATTTGGCAATTTTTACGCCTAACGGCTAAATTTTTTACCTCTTTTACAGTTATCGGTTAACCTCATCAAGACCCTCATCGCAGAAAATGGGTAAGACACTGGCATGTATGTGGATTGAGTCAACATTTGTGAATGAAAAATAGGACTATACTGACCTCTTTTTCACCCTCGGAGGAACACGCTTGTAGTTGAAAACAGTTTAAACCGATAGAAACGATCACATGACCAGTTCTTCTCGCATCGCAACCACAGTGAGGAAAAACAACAGTTGCATATCCATCCAACGTCCTTGCAACATCAAGATACTGCAAACATTGAATGAAAAAACCGCATGCTTTAAAAGGGATGAGTTTTTACTGTTTTGCGTGAGGTGTCGTGCCAATCATCTGTTTCTAAACTGACATCACTACAAAGACAAAGACAAAGACCACTCAATCCCCTTCTCCTACCCCCTACCTCCTATTTCACAGGACATGACTGACAGTGTGGCCATTGAAGAGGAGTCCCGGAGATGAGAAACATTTTGGTCTTGTTCTCACCTGATTCCAATTACATTTTTGGCGCCACTGTAACATGTCATTAACTTTGCCTTAATTTCAAAAATAGGTCAGATTTTTCTTAACAGAGATTTCTCGTTTAAACTGTTTGCCATGACTGGATAATGCTCCATACAAATTATACAAAGAGATGGTGTATGCAGCGAGCATTTTCGTGCTGGTCTAAGTTAGTAACGGATTCGCAAACAAAATAAGCTAGGTTAACACATTGAATTCATTTTCTTCATCGATTCAACTCTCTCAGTGCCATTTGATTTGCACAAAATCTCGTAACAGCGGACGGTTTAATTAAAAAAGAGTTGTTAAAAACGGAACTGTGCATTAAAAAGAACAAAGCACTCCACTGCAGGAAATCTTAAATGATCGGATCCAAATGAGTGAGCCATGTTTTGAACAAGCTCTGGAAGAACATTGCGAACCAACTGAGTCAAATACTTCAGCCTGTGGCTGAATAGAACAAAGGCATACTTTACAACACAGCACATGTTTGTTCGGCAGAGTGCTCTATGCAAAAATCAATACACCAGGGAATCTCCTACCTCTTTCTTTTTATTTGCTGCCTGCAGGTCTTTAAGCTTTTGCAGGTTTTTTCCAGGGGACAATTTTCGTCTTCTCAAGTCACTAACTGCCTGCGTGTGTTTTAAAATAACAACATAACTGTTAGAAAATATACGAACACTAAATAAGTTATTTATGAAACCATTTTTGCAGCGCTACAAAAATCTCTTACTTTGGGATTAACGTTTGACAAATCATCACTAAAAAAGTACCAGTAGGAACGGACACTGGCACTCCTTTACATTATTTTCAATGATAAAAATTCGGTCTTGCGAATGAAAAACATTGCAGGTCAAGGGTTGAACTTCGATTCAAAAATGTAGCTTAATTTGCAATAAAGTTTGACCCTTTACAGCCCAACACGCAAACTGTTCAAAGAACAACATGGTTTCTCAAAAAGCTCATCACATATCATTCTCCTACAGTGTGGCTGGAGACTATGGTTCAATAGCTCTGAGCAATAAACTATAACAGTTATAAACACATGCCAGTTTATTGACAAAAAGATCTGAGACTTAAAATAAGCAGCTAATGGTCTGGTTCAGTCCAAAACAACTGTGTACAAAGGACATAACAGAGAAAAAGGGGAAAAATCTTTGTAAACATATCTTTCTCCTGCTAAGGAGAATGGATACCTGAGTATATAGGAGGTTAACCGCACTCTCATCATTGTTCATCTGCACTTCCTGTTCAATTACACAACAAATACATAAAACACTTTCCTTTCAAATCCTCAGTACCACATTTCATCAAAGACTTTGAATTCTACACACTCTAACCAACAGATGTCCTTGCATTTGTATGCAACCTTTATATAAATCTACCATCCCCTTCACCATTAAAGTGGATGTAATGTATGGGTTGGGTGAGCCACCCTACTTCAGCCAAAGAACAAATTAAAGGCAAAAACACGAAGTCACTTTTTGTTTTCAACTTAGTGGGGACAATTGAAAAACAAACATAGATGGTAAATGCCCTCTCTTATGGACAAAAGCAAAAAGAAAACAAAAGTGAAATTGATATTTTCTTTCGCCCATTTGGAAACTGGTGGGAACTAAAGCACAAAGATTATTAAGACCACTCCTTTCCAGTACATCACTTTAAATTGGCTGAGGTGCTCTCTCATGAAACATTGAGTACTCTGTCTACTCTATATCTTGTGTAGAAACAGATCCAACCTGAATGACCAGGCTCAACATTAGGTAGAACGTTAGCATACAAACCCTTGCTAGGGTAAATATCCACTTTCGAAAAGCAAGACAGGTTGTAGATGATGCAGTATAACTCTTGATATATAAGTTGTGGGGGAACTCATTCTGTTCAAGTTTGCGTTCTAATATGAGGGGAAAAAAAGCCAATAGAGAAACACCTTGAGCAAAGAGATTTTGGTGATAATAAAATTGAAAAAGTTAAGCTATTCAAGGAATAACTAGTACAAATCTATACTAAGCAGTGGTGAAAACCTAGTAGTTTTAAGGTCAACTCAGGACTGATGGTGATCTGAAATATAAACAACAGCTTAGAGTCACATATCACTGAGACTCACACTACCGACCAGAAGAGCTAGTCTAACATATTCACTAAAACCCGACCTTCATGTTAATGGACAAAAGCATAACATGCTTCACTTACCAAAACCATCATCACCAATCTCAAAGAGTGCAAAGTTTGAGATGCTGTCTTGGTCCAAATTTAGCTTTTCTGTCATGGCCTTCCATAAACATAAAATCAAGTGAGGCAATTTCTAGTTAACTATCAACTCTCCTTATTAAAGCTTTTGTCTCAATCAGATTGTTGCTAGGAACCACAAATAACCAAAACTATTAATTTCTCCTTCATAATCAACATAGGGTACACCACATCCCTCTTTTTTGCATGTGATGTCAACTTTATGTCAACAGAAATCTGTTTATACTATTGTTGCTCACAATAATAACTTTAATTTACTTTGGGTGGATGAGCTACCTTTCACCCTAGACCCTTTGCTTCCAGTTAATAGTAAATCTGTGGTTTTCAAAAACTTAAAAAAAAATACAACTTGGTGACTGAACCAAATGCACTAAACACAAGAGTTTGTGATCAGATAAATATTTTGCCACAGGATTTGCATAAATTGAAGCTAGAAACGTTTTCACACAGTAAGGTTTTTGCTGTCCTTCAGTTCTCTGCTGCCCTATACATGATGCATTAGGGGAATTAAGCCTAACCCCACAATGACATGGAGGATGTGGCAAAACAGAAGATCTCATGTGCAGAACAACAGCTCAGTATGTTTGTTTTAAAACTGTACATTTCTTTGCCATCCTCTGCAGAACAACTATGTGAAATCACAAATATTAAGTGGCCTGAGAATGGAAACCCAGAAGAAAATTATTCATGTTTCCATCTGGAACTAAATGCTGCTCGTATACATTAAGTTGAAGTGTAGTGCTGTTAGAGACCGTAAACACATCAAGCCATTCGCAAAATTCTTTCTAAAAATTTTAATTCATTTTGTAATAGAAGTCTTCCTTACTATTGACAGAAACCGGAGAAAAAAGAATCAAGAAACATTACATGCATATTTGTGTAAATCACAGTGCATGAATGTTTTTCACTGCTCACCTGATATACTTGAACTGTTTTGTGACATTTCAGAACAGTCACAGTCGTAATTGAATCATCTGGTAAAAATACTCTTAACTCAACTTTCATTGAACCATCTTCCTCTTCTTTCTCTTGCTGAAATACAATGTTGGAAGAGAAAATGAAGAGAATCTCCTTGTTCTCATTCTCAACAACGTTGTGTTCACTTTAAGAAATTAGGGAAACTAAAGCTCATTCAATCCTGTCTAGTTATTTAAAAAGGTGAAGTGTGCAGGAGAGCCATGTAGCTTGTGAAAACCATCAGATCTCCATTTCCATAGCAGACACAAAATGAAGCAAGTAAGAGTATTGCTACTCCTCTATGGGGGATGCTGGTCCATCAAAGGTTACCCCCACTCACCCCACCCACCAGCCCTTTGTCCAGTTTCCTGGCAGTTTGTTGGTACCCACTTATACTCCCAGGTGAAGAGGGTCACTGTTAGAATACAATGCCTTGTCCAAGAACACAACACAACCACCCGAGTCCATTATGCATAAAAGAAGGAAAAAGTCTTTATACACTACAGAGACTTCTGCATCTAAATTTTGATGGCTTCAACAATTCACCAGTAATTTGATTCAGATGTGGAAAATAATCTCCAAATGCTTTTAACTACTCTAATACCCTTATATTCTAATCGAAAAACACTCAAAGACCCCAACTCAGGTCTAAACCTAGATGTAATTAAAAATGCATCCAGCTCCCTAATCTTGGACAAAAATTTGCACCAGAGACTGAGATAATACACAATTTTTGTCTCACCATCTATGAACTATTATTAAATATCTTTCAAAATTTTAACATATCAATCTCAAGGCAAAAAAACAAACTTTATGTTCTTCAAAAATACACAGACAAATACCATTTTACAGCATTACTTCAAGTATACTTGTAAATTCAATAAAACAAATTACTCTTATTCAAAGCCATCTCTGGGGAAAATTTATTTTGAAACACATAAAATACCTGGAGTTGGTTTTCTGAAGACTTGAGAAAGTCTACCATGATGTCTGACTCTCCAATAACTTTCACTGAATTAACTGTTAAGAAAGTATAAAAAATTACTTGTCAATTCACACTTACTTACATCTAGTTGGAAAAAGTTCTTAAAATTGAAAATTTTTTGGGCAGTTGAATTTTTGTTTCTAATAGCCCTTATAATAATAATGACAATGACAGTCTACATCAAATGAAAATTAAAAGGGTTTAAATTTTTTGGTTCTCATCAATAAGTTTTTATGTATGCCCTCCTCTTTACTAGGCAGTGGTAATCAATGAGACCCCTCCCTTCCTGCCAGGGCCTCATTACAGCATATGTAGTGATTAGGAGAGTTGTGGAAACATTTTGAAACAAGCTGATAATGAAACATTTCTTTATCTTACTACAAGAAAAAATACTCTTGTTTGTAGTTAACTTCAAATTTTAGGGGTGCTTACAGAAATACCTGTCATATAGTTTGCTTTCGAAGAAACCTCAGATAACTAATATGATCATTTATGAAAAACATATGAACAATAGAATCTGAAAGTATATCTATTTCTGTTTAGGTGGGCAAGCGTAAACATGCAAAAAACTAATAATGTTTGCTCAGCCAACTTAAATGCTCTTGCATCTTAGAACAAAATAGGCAAGCACAGTTTGTTATTGTCTTTTGGTCATCAAATTGGTTCCTAAGAAATTCAAACTCCAGGACATGACAGGGAAACTATTCTGAATTTTCTCAATGCTTAACACATTAACTAGGTAATAATAGCTTATTTTAATTAATAAAATTGTAAGAGAGAGAAGATTGATTTCAAAAGAAGAGTCAGGCCAGGTATCTGAATTACACACACAATTTGATTGGTATTTACTAAAAAATTTATTGGAGAACAGACAACTAGACCACATCATCACTAACAATTTTTTTTTCTTATTTAGAATATAAAACAAATAGACTCTATATTTCCATGGGTCTGTTAATAGATCAGAGAAGATATTAAAATGTGGTAGGAACATAAGTGACACACTTGGCTGCACCTTGTGTGTAGTGTGTAGAAGAAATGCAAAATTGCTTTCAGCATTGGTGTAAATATTATAATTTCCGTGGTCTGATATTCCATGGCATCTGCCTTCCTCTTCACAAGACAGTCTGAGAGTACCGGTAAATCATTTCTTTACTATAACAAGAGTTATGAACTTATTGAACACATTTTCATTGAAAAACTACTGTCTAACCTTGATCAAAGTAAGATTCCAAAGCTTTTCTACGAGCTTCTATTTGTTGATCAGATAAGTGAAATGGCCACTTTCCAGGAAACTTAGGAAACTGGAAATCTCTAAACTCCTTCTTAAGCTGATAGCAAAGACAAAAGAAGCCTCAGATTACTTAAAGGTTAAAAATAATGTAATCAGTGATAATTAATTTGAAGATAAATTATCCCTGTATGTCAATGTGACTCTGTATATCATTACCATGATGGCAAAAATAGATGTAGTTCAACACTTGGGCCAAGTGTCCCATCTGGCCAAAGCTTATTTTGGTTTCTGTGGCATGATGCCGGTATAAGTATTGTTGCCACTCCCCCTTGATGCGAAGCTAGTCCATTACATGTTACCTTCCTGACAGTGCCACCAGACCCATTTATACTCCTGTTGTTTGAAGTCCATCCAAGCATCAAATTGTACACAAAAAGAATTATACTGAATTTTTCTCCTTAAGGTTCAGATTTCACACTAACCCTGAGTTATCTTAACCCACCTTTGAACAACAGTGCCCTGGGTGATAAAAAGGCACCATATGCCAGCCAGGTCTCAAACCTGGACAACTAGATGGCAAGTCCAATGTGCTAAAGTTGAAACTAGGATAACTTTAAATTTGAAAATTTGAAAATGAAAGTATGATAGCTTACTGACTTTAAGTGAGGCTCTACATATCTATTCCAAGGAAACACAACTCTGCTGTATTCAGCAAACAATTCAATTATAAAATCTTAACCTCTTTACCTGGTTGTGCAAATTTGAAAATTCTTTGTATCTTCTGGAACAAATATGCTTGTCTCCATAGTAGATATTATACACCTATAAAAAGGATATTCTTTCACCAAAAATAGATAAATATACCCTAGTTACAGCTTTTTATCAATTTATTTTTTTAAAGTAGTTGACTGATTGCATTTCCTAGGAAAACCTTTGTTGTAAATTACTTCCTAAAAAAAACTGGTATATCAACATATTATTGACATATATCCTACTCTCACTAATGTGAGGTTAACAAAGGGGCAGTCCTGATCCCAATTTATGCACAAGTTTTAGAAAAATTCATGTATCACATATATACGTAAAAGGAAACACTCCAAATCTCTCTTCTTGTCTACAAAGTTTTCAGGGAAATCTTGAGGTTTTTGAAATGAAAGAAAAATTTATGGTTCACACATATTTTGGGAGGCAAATCAAGCATTGTACTGGTTGATATACTACTACATGTGTCACATACTAATTTTAGGCTTTAAGTCATGCATCACATGTTAACCCTTTGCCTGACCCTTTGCCTCCCTCAAATACAAGTACACCACTTCAGGAGCAGAAACATCCAATCATGTTGCATAAATATTTATGCAGCTGGTTATTTGGTGAATTAAATTAGGCTTTCTTGGCAGGTTGACTGCCTTCATCCTATAAGTGCAAGATGACATCATGATAATCTTTAGACAAGAGATCTCATACTCTGCACAGAACTGGAACTGTACCATGCAAAAAAAAACCACACACACACACTTTAGCATTTCTTACCACATATGTTTCACCATTGCTAACAACTTGTCTTGTCTCAGGTATTGATAATGATACAGCTCTCTTGTCTGTATAATCATAATATTCTCCTCCAGATGAACTCTCACTCTCAAGTTTCTCAGCTTCATGTGAACTCACAGATATCACAACTAAAGTCAGTTTATCTCCGCCTTTCTTGATCAGGTTCACTACATGTTTGTGAGTGGCACCTTCCACATTTTCACCATTCCTGTTGACCACATAATTTTCACTTTATAAATATGACAGAATTTTTCCTTACACTAACCATTTACCCTTACCATTAATACCTATATTCTCCATCCTGTTCTCTTTGCATTTGATTGAAGGGTGAAACGGCGAGGAGAAACTAGAAGCCAGTCACTCAAAAGGGTTAAAGAGTCCACCTAACAATAATTACTGTGAAACAGTGTCAACTTTTGCCTCAAAAAGAGATCGTTTACCCCTTTATCCCCTGTCAATAAATATTGAAAAAACTTCTTATATAAAAACACTGCTTACACCTGTGGTTTGCAAAACACCTTGTTTACCATGTCATAGAAAGGAAAATTTAAAGTAGTCTTATATTAGATTGTTGATTTCCAACACTTAGATAGCAAATTAGCCAAACATATATAATTTTATGATTTTACCCTGCAGTAGTTTTTATCAAATCTCCAATTTACTCCTTTTAATTTCTGGACTATACTACTCAGTCCATTATTTTTCACTCAAAGTGTACAGCTTTTAATAATTGCCCAGTGAAACTTTGAGGATTGTAATTTTCATCACAGTGAACTTTGAACAAATGGAATCTACATCTTATCTCCAACAGACAAAATCCAACATGAGCTAAGTGTGACTTCACATGTGACTACAGTGTTTATCTCACTTAAATATTAATAACACTGTCATAAACCATTCAGGTATCTTTTGACAAAGGTTTCAATAACTTTTTCTATGAGTGGTTGCTAATAGTACAACAGTCCAAAAAGGACTGTAAGGAAAAACCCAAACACAAGACCTCTCTCACAAGCTAAACAGATGGCAGTTAAAAGTCTTATAGACAGTGGTAGACCACTTTTAACCCTTTAATTCCCATGAGTGACCAGGACAGAATTTTTCCTTACACTACAAATACAATATCAAGCAAACAAGTGATGAGGATAAAGGAAAATATCAATCAAGAGATCATTGGTTGATTCAATACCAAATTCTCCAAACTTACACCAGAAAAATTGTATGGCTATCAGTGAGAAAAATTACTAAATGAGATCTTAAGAGTGAAAGGGTTGACCAGTTCTTACGGAAGCTCCTATTTTGATAGAAACAAATCAAGCTAGATCAAATAGAAAAGACAAAATGGATTGAGATCCATCAACAGAAAGACTAACAATTTGATCAACAATGGCTGTTCAAAAAATAAAAACCTATCATCCTTTGAGTCAGCGTGGGCAAAAACGATTGTACACCATTATATGGGTTTCATAAGCAAAGTACCATGAGGAATAAAGAAATAAGTTGCTTAATTAGCGAGGTAGTTTCTAGTTCAAAACAAAAAATCCCTCAATAAGCTCAAGATGTTTTCTTCATCCTGATGTAATGACTTCAAATCTGAATATTCTTGTCAAATACATATCAAGTTAGAGTGGTACCATTGCATTCTAAAATTGAGACTTCTCATTCAAGAGGAAAGAATCAAATAAAATTAAAGGTTAAAAGTTAAAAAATCACTTGTTAAATTAAACCATGATTTAAAGTGGAAACAACTACATGAAACTATTTCTCAACTGGAAAAATCTCAAAAAACAACCGGAGGTTAAAGAATGTTGGCAAAGATTACCACTTTCACCATAGCTCCATCTTAAGTCAAAAATCTGATTATTCCCTTCGAAAAAGCGAAAAGAAACATTTCGGCTGATGAATCACAAGAGCAAGTATTGTAAATAGTCTTCAATTGGTAACAGCTGGCAGCGATATTTATCAATAATCACAGCAAAGAAGTACGTTTATCTACATTAACACCACGCAGGACCACTCTTGTAACTATCCGCCAGCCCCCGTTAAACAATCTGTCCATAATCATAATAGTCATAATATACAAAGTAAGTCATGTTTGTTTACGTACACTTCAAGGATTCGATCACCAATCCTAACCCCTCCGTTATGAGCGGGGCCACTCTCCAATACGGCGCTTACATGCTGCAACGGTGCATACAGTTCTCCATTTATTGACTTCAGTTGCCCCCCTTCTGATACCTGGCCACGGACGTTAAATCCAAATCCATTTTCTCCTCGAAACAATTCAATTAACCTGGGTCCGTAAGGATCAGCTTGACGAGCGTCAGCCTCTTCATCGTCCGCCATGTTTGATTTGGCAATCACGTGACAGAAGACGAAAATAAAACTTCCGCAAAGCTAAGGTAGTTTTTGCTTCCGGTTAGTTTGATGGATCGATGGCTGGCGATTTCAAGACTTTTTCGTGAGGAAAATGTATTGAATATTTCAAAGTTGAGCGAATTTGAGCTACATCTTACGGTATTGACATTGTGGTTCATTAACACTGAGTACTAAACCAAGTTGGGTATAGCATATCGACTTCTTGATCAAACTTTTCCTTGCGTTTTCCATGTAAATCCGTCAAGAACGAAGAAATATCTCACACAATAACACCAAGTCCATTGAAATGCGCATCAAGAAAACTAAGGATGAATAATGGTTCAATCAATTAATCGCCGTTTAATTATCACTTCAGCATCAGAAAATGAAAAAGTTTTTTTTTCACTAATGAAACTATGCCAAAAACGGAAATACGACGAAACAGGATTATTGATTCTGACCAAAATCCCCATTTAGAACCACTGGAAATATGAAATAAAAAGCCGAAATATTTGGAATTAAATTTTTTCACACATGGTTTATTAATGTACCATGAGACCTTTTAAACCGTTAGAGTTAATAGTAAATTGTACACTGATTTGTTAATGAAAATTTCGTACAAGCCCTTAGTTGTTTGTTCCATAAAATCAACGGTTGTTAAATATGGGTGTTAACTGAAGACGAAGAGCCTGAGATTCTGGATGCAACCGTATTCTGCTTAAACGCACCTGTCCGACTTTAAAAGTCCAAATTTGTCAGTTTTCCCTGGTTCCCATTATTCCTGGCCCTATGGAACTTCATCGTGGAAACATCCCTTTTCCTTTCTCTCTCTCTCTCCCTCTCTTATATTTTTGTTTAACCATAAAAAACGCCCCTCTTACAGCTCTTTATCCTATGAACTACTTCGCTAAAAGCCCCCTGGGGCGAGGAGACAGCGCATTGCAACATGGGACTAATTTCCGACGGTGATCCGAATGAGTTACGAGATGTTCCGAAGTTGATAATTTTGGAAGGATTTGTCAACACGAAGTGAATGAGATACTGCCAAAATTTATTGCTTAAATTGATCGATTGCTTGATAGGGCTGACCCCTAAATATCTCTCGTTACTATTCAGCTAAAAAGTGACACTTTTCATAAGCATTAAATGCTTAGTTGAAAAAAGGCCCTACTTTTCGTCCTTTTAATTTGCATTTTGCGCAACAAGGAACGTCGTAGAGCTCTGTTGTACTGCTAGCTGATTGGTCGATGCACAGACCCCCTGTGACCAAATGGAACGCCGCTCTAGACTGACAACACGCTCCAACTTACTCTTCCAATATGGCGAACCCGAGGAAATTTGCCGAGAAAATTGCCTTGCACAACCAGAAACAGGAAGAGGGAACGCGTGCTTTCGAACAGATTATGAAAGAGGTTTCCATACTTGAGGTATTTTTAATTTTCTTGATTAACAGATATTTTTTTTATTCGTTTTGTTGTGCGTTGTTGACATGTCAGTAGCACAGCTGAATATGGATTTCTTCTCTGTTTTCAAGCCTACCAAAAAGCCCCAACACCAGCAGATGCAACAACAGTACTTTGGAGGATCGTTGCCAAATGTGAACATCAGTCTAGCGCATGCACACCGATTAGACCTACAGGTAATTTTTGTTTTACACTTCACGATTGTGTTCATCTGCTATGGGATTATAGTACATTTCTGTGCATTTGTTTTGAGGTTCGATTCTAATGAAATGATACTGCTTTCGATCTTCAGACCGCGTTAGATAGTCTGGATCGTCTCACAGGGTTGCATCACAGCGTTGGTGATCGTATGCCTATAAGTCATAAACAACGGTTCCAAGGCGGCCGAACTCAATTTAACCCGAACAATCGTTTTCGGGGAATATCCTTCTCACAGTCTGATAAAGAGTTCAGATCGTCACCTTAGTCAAGTTAAGGGACTTTGGTAACATATGTCACGATACGGTTTACAGATATCACAAGTTGTTTTTTTTCAGTTCTCGATTACTTTTTGTTCCTGGTTATTTGATTTTCTCAGTCAGATTTACTAGAAAGTAAATACGTTAATGTTTCGTGAAATAGTTGTGTCAAGATCGTGACGGTGTAGAAAGAGAAACGTTATAGGGTTCGTTGCAAAGAAGTTATTTAAAGAACATGACATAGTTTATACATCGATTTTTCGAAGCTTTAGTCAGCCTTAACCTTGATCACATAGACACATCACCCTACCATGTGTCTGGTTGCCATTTATCACCTCCTCAAGATCGGTATTCGCAAGATCAAGGTTGGCGAGATAGAAGGTAGGTACATTCAAATCCCAACCCAGTGTGTCATAATAGCTTGATGAGCTTACTTAGCATTTTGCGTAGTTATTCAATTACTTACGCTGAGGAGTCCGTATACTGGTCTTTTGGAAACAGTGATATTGTACTTACCTGTTTGGCTGTAGCAGATGCGCTTTCAGGAAGAGCAAAACGATTAATATGGTTCAAATTTTGTTTGGGTAGCGAAAGGCTCTAGTTGAAAGGTGAATTGACCTCTAGTTTCCCGCGCAAATTTATCATTGCACAAACATAAATTTTCTAAGCGAGTCTGTTCTCTTTTGGCAAGTGATTTGTTTTCATTACTACGGCAATAGTAGTGGTAATTTTGTTGTTTTCGATAAGATCTCATCTTTTTGGGATTTCGTGTTCACCTGTTGGTTTGGTTGGGATAATGGAAGTGTTTGTACAACTTATTACGATTGAGGAGTGCATCAAGCAATCGTAGTCAATTTGGTAACGGCCGCAAAGTCTAAATTAAACCCAAAATACAATCAGAAAATTGGAAAAAATTCCATGGATAATTCTAGAAGCTTGTTTTCTATTTTTTCCTCATTTGTGAGTCTATTAATTAAGTTATTGTTAGGAACTAGAAGTTCAAATACGAATTAATTATTTTTTATGTACTTAAAACTGTGTTTACATTTGGTGAAATCAAATGCTTACTCTTTACTCCTTGATGTTTTCTTTGACTCTCAAATCTTTGTTACTGGAGTAACACAGGTTAACAATTGCCATAGATATACAAAATTACTTTTGTTATACTATGATGTGTATTGTCTTTTATATCAAAGTGCAGTTTTAATATAGTGAAAAGAGTGCATGTGATGTAGATTAGCTTTGTGTTATGCATGGGAAGCATGGGGGTGCTGATCAAGTCTCAGTCACAAATTTTAGAAAAACTCACTTATCACATGCACTTTATACAATATTTCACACATCATAAATTTAAATGTAAAACTTCACATCTCACCTTACTTTGCCTTTCTGTAAAGTTAAAACATCACATTAATTTTAGGCTTAATTGATTGTGTCATGTATGAAGGCTTTGCCACCCTCTCATGTCAGTCTCGCACCCAAAATCGCCAGATCATCTATAGGAAAAAGCAGAACTCTATGATAGAAACAATTGGTCCTGTTTCACACTGACTTTGGAATTATTGTAAGACCTTTACTTTTTAACTCTTTGCTACAGGAAATGTATTAACCAAATTGTTGAATGGCATTTTAAACTGGCTCATTAAAGCACTGAGCAGTACAAACAAGGAGTGAAGAAATGTCATTAAACTTATTTTCACACAAAGAGATGTGCTTTTTTTCATGTGATCATCTGATTTTAAGTATAGTTTAGAAAAAGAAACCACTGAAAAGTCATGGGGCTTGTAAAATTTGTCTTGATTGAAAAATTTTAAAGTGCTCTCCAACCAATCTCAATGAGAAATCATTTAATCGCTTTAATTTATTATACATTGATTTCAACTTTTTGTAGTAGTTTTCAATTTCTGCACTATGTCACTATTAGACACACTCAGTTATACTTTTGAATAAATAATATTTTTTTAAGAATATGAGGGGTAAACCCTTTTAATTCACTGTGACAGTCTTTTTCCTTTGTGTGTCCCTTGCTTCATGTTTGAAACTTTCTCTAAATTATTTGCCTTTCCAGACCCATTTTAGTCATATTACTATACCTCTCTGAACATTCCATGAGGCATGAGGTCAAGATGGCTGAATGTTGGCCAAGGTTTTTTTTTTCTTGCATTTCTTTGGACAGAGAAAAAGTTGAGGTCCATAAAAATGAAAAAACAGAACAAGGCTAATATTCAGCCATCTTTGCCAAACAAGCTTGGTCAGTAAAGAATCTACTATATTACAGAGATTTTGCGCTTTAACACAAATCAAGAATGACTTGTTTCTTCTAAGAGCTGGGAAAGAAAGTCAACTGTGCTTGTGACACAATGAACCCACCAGATTTGTGTTTGTCTTCTTTATTTTGACTGTCTTCTGCTACTTTTTGCGTCTCCATTGCCAACAATGCCCAAGAATCATGAACATTGTTTTTCTGTTCCACACAATTTCTTTCTTGAGCAGGATCAAAGCAGGCAACCCTGAGCCTTGTTCACTCAAGTAGCCAATCAGAACACAGGATTTGCTTCATATTTCCCAAGGGTGCTGCCAGCTATATAATAAAAATACTTATTCTCATTCTACATCTACAGTTTTTATATTTAACACCAAATATTCTCAGCACGATGTAGATTAACTGGACCCAGATTCTACTCAAACAACTAGAAGATGCATGCATAAATTGTAAAAATTTAAGATTAACAGAGAGTGGAAAACACTGTATAGAATTGAAAACTAAAGATACAAATATGCAAGTTGGATGAAAAGAAATAAGGAAATGAGAAACTCTTGTTGAAAAGTGACCCATCCCAGTCAACAGAAATAACTTTTTCAAAATCAAGACTATGTACTTATCACATAACCTTTTTATGCTCACTGAGTATCAACCAAATATTATAGGTTAATGATTAACTCATCATGTGATTTCTCCATGGGGTAGAGAGGAAATATACTATGGAACAGCACCTTTAGCATGCTATGGTGTATTTGAATATATAAATGGTATCTTACCCAGTACATTGAGTATCTTTTGTTGGTTTTAGTTGGCATGCATCTGCTGAAATGCATTTTTGCTTCTTATTATCTTCTACAGAATTGCATCTGATTCTGCTCTCCATGATAGTGTTGTCCGTGCAGAGGTGAAACCCAAAGGTAGGACTTCTATCAGCTTTACATTAAAGTGAGACTCAAACCTTACTGGTGCTCCTAAAAACTAACTTTTGTGTAGCAAAAAGGAAAGAAGTGGAAATCATTAATTAGTATTACTGAGAAAGGCATCAGTTTCTATATTCTCCTTACTCTTTTCTGTACATTTCCTTTGGTACTGGCAAGGAGAATTTGTTTAACAATCAAAACTTCATAGGTGTAGTCATTATTTCCTCTGTTCTCATAATCTTAATGAATGATTCAGCAATATCACTGTAAGGAGAAATTAGATGGTGATTTCTCTCAGGGGCCCAAAGGTTAATACCTGGACATAGGATTTTGTGTGCTTAGTTATCTTGTTATTTAGTGTGTAGTTATTTAGTTATGATTTTACTCAACCTACTTGAAGCAGTCATAACCTTTCGATAAAATTTCTATCATCTATTTCTGTCAAATTATAGAAATTGTACCAAGAAGATATATTAAAAAATGCCTATATTCGTTGACATTTTTTTTTTATATTTAACACATTTCAATTTGGGAGTGCAAAAATATAGATTGAGTAAACAAGCACTAAGGTTATTTGGAATGAAAATTTATTTTGTTAACTGTCACAACATAAAAGGCTCAAAAGATTTCACAAAAAGAATGATTTGAATTTGGGGCTTCATTTTAAGTTCCAGAATGAGTTTTTTTCCTTGTTATTTTTACAATTATTGTATAAGGTAACTTTGTAGATATAAGGTAAATTTGTAGTAAATAGTTTGTTAGTTTACACTGAGAACATTTTCCATTTGGGTTTTCTCTATCTATTGACAATGAAAATTATCATTAGTACCACAGTAGTGTCCTCAATATTTTTTTCCGTGACTCAAACTTTGCTAAATGGTTTACGTGATTGATAAACAATTGAAAAAGTGGTATTTCTTCTTATCTCCAATATGGAAGTGGTCATAATGAAAAAATTGAATTTATTGCTTGGACTTGCAACCAACAGTTAAAATGGTGTTTCCAAATACAAAGGCTTGGAATAGTAGTCCAGAATAATGGCAACAAGTTTTTCTAAAGTAGATCATGTAACTACACATGGGAAGCTTTTTGAAGACAAGCCATTCTTGCTAAAACTTTCCTCTCTTCCCTGTGTCTCCTTTTAGTGCCAGTGGCCATTTATTATATTTTTATTTATTTTGTAAATTCCACCTCAGTAGTGATGTAGTAATGTTGTTTGATTACAATTTGACATTGGTCATCATGTTTATTTCCAACAAGATAACATTTAATTATTTTTTGTACCCCTGTTTATTTAGAAAAAACATTGCCATCCCATGAAAGAAAGGTGAGTGTAGAATTAGTACATATTCACAGAGTATCTATTGTCTTTTATAAGGTGAAAAAGAAGAAACTCTGCTTTTGCATTCAGTGAAACTTAAGCATTAGTAAAATTGTTACTGAAATGTAAAGAAAGATTTCAAGATAACTCTGTCTTCTTTTTGGCAATAAATTTATTTTAAAAAAAATTTTTTGTAACAAACTTATTTAATTTTTCAAATGTTTGAAGTCAAATCTATGTCTGTAGGTTTTTTTGAGGATATAATGAGCATGGACTGTTTAGAGTTTGGTTACTCATTAATTTCACGGTATTCTACTTTGCTCTCTGTTAATGTTCCTGTTTGTAAACTTAAAAAGATTATAAATGCACTTTTCAAGTTTTTTTTTTTTCAAATTGTACTAAGATTATCTAAATGTAAATCAGGAAAAGATGGAGTTGAAATTTCTTCTAAAACTCAAAGAAAAAATTCACTTCTCTATGTTTTCTTTACTCTGAAAATTTGTAATAATGATATCTTTTTAATTTAATCAGAGGTACTTGTGTCCTTTCTTTTGTCCTGAACCGATATAACAAAAAAATTCTCACTGACAGTTACTTTTCTTTTGCAGGTTCGCAGTCCATCTAGACCAAAGTCTTGTGAAGTGCCTGGAATGTAAGATTTCAATTTTTTCCTTCCTTTGGAGTGTATTGATCTTATATTGATAATCTACAATATTTATGTGTATCGTGCTTAGTAACTAAAATGTGTAGTTATTGTAGGATTGCAGAGGAAAATTTCAATAATAGTTATAATAATAATAATTAGTAATTGTAAGTAGACAAAGAGGTTAAAAATCCAAATTAGTGGAAGGCAGACCATTTTGCCAGAGCCAAACCATTTGGCCAAATACAAAGTGCAGCCAAGGAGTTGATCTCTGGATAACCAAGAACAATTGGAGTGAGGAGCAGGATGAAGGGCTTAAACCTAGGCCCACCAGATAACAAGTCAAGAACTCTAACCACTTGGCAGGTTGCCTCCTCTAATTCCCTGACCCAGGATGTCATTGTCAGAAATGATCACATAATGGAGCTGATTTACTTGCTAGACAGAGCAACAACTTTCCAATCCTTCTATTTTCCAGTTTAGTGGGGTTTTCAACTCTCCTGTTATCTTGCTTTTTTTAATGGTTGAAAGTTTTGTCACTAAAGAGCTTTTGCATTGTTAGAGGCTGATAAACCACTTCTGGTGTGTTAGAATTTCTTTCTTTGACAAAGCCACTTTCTCAACTATCCTTAGATAATTTTGAACCCAAATTAAAAATGCAGTGAGGCAAAGTGATGTCTGGGTGTTTTGGTTTGGCATTAGGTAACAGCTTCAAGTGATTCTTTAAAATTTGTTAAATTGCACTTAAGAAATGTATTGATTCAGTCAAAATGTATAGAAAGGGAAACTGATATTATAATATAATATAATTCTTGGTTTAAAATATTGCCTTGTCCCAAACACTAATGACTATTTTTGTCAAGAATATGGCAATGTTTTAAAATTTTATGTGTAATCTTTTGTTTAATTGCTATTTGACTGAAGTTTCACTTCTTCTTCATATTTTGATTACTAGGACTTTCCCAGCAGAACATGTATCACAGACAGGCCCCAACTTACCAATAGCCACTGCCAGTACAGGTGGTTCTCTTCCAGATCTCACAAACCTGAATATTATTCCCTCTCCACTGATAACACCCCTTGACAATGATGAACATGTGAATCAAGCCTTGTCTTCAACCCAGCTTCAAATGTCACAAAGACAGAGTCCTGTTCGACGGCCAGTAGCAAATCAGCAGCAAATGAGGAAACCACAATACACTGACCAAATACCATTAATGGATGCCAATCTACGGCCTCTTGAAAGCAGGTTGCAACAATTCCAGTTTTATCCTCAGAATAACGATTTCGGTTCACATGGAGGCTCAGCAACTACTACAAGTGCTTCACCAACACTTTCCCCTACATCATCAGCACCTATGACTCCACTCTTTGGTAGCCTTCCCACTAGTCCACTGTCATCATTTAATCCTGAGCTCTACTTTAAACAGCAACAACAGCAGCAATCAAATACACAAGCTTTACAACAACAACAACTAGAACAATTTTCTATGCATCGCCCAGTGGCAGTAGGAGGGATGTTGAATTCTTCAATGCAACTGCCCTTCCAAACTTTGTTGGCACAAACACCAACTACTATTCCAGGTCAGGGAATGCCTAGCTTAGCACATTTTTATGGTCCAGGCCATGCAAGGGTACCAGATTTAATTGTGACTGGTTCAGATGATGACGGAGTCAAATCAGACTTTGCAAAAGATCTTAGTACAGCCATGGGCCATATTGGTGGTGATGATTCTGGCGATATGTATGCCCCTGATGATCCATTACAAAAAGTTGTGCTTGATCCATTGGACATGGAAGGCTTTCAAATGTTGTCTGGCCAGGATTCAGAGCTCACTGATGCTGCAACTGAAGATCAGTTTCGTCTGGACCGCCTTGGGTAGGTTGAAAGTATTTTTGAGTCTTTCACTTGCAAGATCTCTTTTACAATTCTCCATGCTGTCTGTCATACACTGCTTATGACTTTCATTCGGAGAATTTAATATTGGCTTCAATGATAGTCTTTTGATTGAGACTTTTCTTTATCTCATCAGTTGTCTCCCTGATATTATCCTAAAGTTGTAAAGAGAAAGTATGTCTTGGATACTGTTGGGAGTAAAAGAGTTAAGCCCTTCACCTCAGTGTTCAAATATACTTCTCTCAGAATCCACATCAAAAAAGGCCCTCTTTCTCTGGAATCCTTGGGAAAATGCCTTCTGCCTTTTTTCCTGAAAATGTTTGCATGTTGTAGGAGTGAATTGATAATTGACAGTTTCACACTGCATCTCCTCAGTCTTGTGTTAAATTGATATGTCATCTCATTGCAGAGCTACAAGATTACATTAACAATGGAAAAAATACTTCTTAAAGAAAGATGCTGTATGTTTGCCTTGAATCAGCAAGGAAGATAATAGAGTGCTTCACATTTCCATGTGGAATTGCTGTAGTAATGTCATTATTGTGGTGACCTGTTTTTATCCTGCGGGTAACTTATTTTTTAATGTACATGTATATCAATTAATCAATGAAAATGCCATGCTATGTAAAGTTAAATAGGTTCTAACTAGTATTTTATTCAGGGTTAAAAGTAAAAAGCAATAAGATGGTCCTAACCAAAACACAACCCTTTTGTATTCATAATTGATAACATATGTGTATCATAGAGCAAATGGAGTTATGTATTCCAAAGGAGTTCTTTCTTCTGCCACAGAACAACTGCCTATCTGCAGCATCTGTACATGCATTATGTAACAATGTATAATTTATATGTGGGAATGCTAACAGTTTCACTGTAAAGATTTATTTTAACCAGAGACATTATAACAAACATGTTTCCAAAAAAGCCATTCTTGTTAACTGGTACTCCAAGGAAAAGCTAATCAGTTAAGATAATGGAAAAGTAACACCTAGTCCAAGTCAACATGTTAACCCTTTGTTCACCTACTGCTGGAATTGGCAGCTTGTCTGTGGTTTTCAGACAGTCTGCGCATTTGAAGATGGGCAATGGAAATACCAAATGAGCTTTTTCATGTGTAAAAAATGACTGATGTCAGTAACATGGAGGGTACGTGTACATCTCAGATACCCATAGGGGGCTTGAAATCTCTGTCCATAGTTTGGATTGATATATTATAAATTGCAATTTTGCTTCAAATTTTCCTGGGCATTTTGGCGGTCAAGAATACATGAAACTTGGTTACCTTTTCATTTTGTAAAATATCAGTGTGTGGACTTTGTGTTTTACATATCAGATGGTATTAAAGAATTCATGAACACCAAATTATCATTTCTTTCAATGCTAATAGAGTACTCATTTGTCCATTACTTCCACTTGAGTTGGTTAAAAATGATACCAAAAAAAATGTCTTTGACCAAATTACCATCTAATGAGTTAGCTACTCATGAGAAATAGTATATTTTAAACTTGATTGCAGAACAAAGAAGGTGCTATTCATTTCAGCAAACAATAACTTTCTCAAGCCTCAAATGGTGTGCTTATGATTAACATGTGTGAAATTTCAGATTATTTAGTGCTGATGGTGGACTGAACGTGGATGTCTGAGAAGAGTTCGATTGTCACTAATTAGTATTTTGCAAATGTTTCACGGTTCTTGCTTAAAAGATAGTGTGGTTATTTTGTGATCATTTGGTGATTTTCATAGTTAAAGATGCTAGTTAATTTTTTGCATGAAGTATTTGCTAGAAGGGGTCGTAGATACTAAGTACAGGAATGTGAAAAAGAAAGAGTAAGACTCGTAACTAATAAGTAATTCAGGTATAATGCTTTTCCCATCCCATTTCATTGTGATACGTTTATAATTATTCTGGCACATCCTGACATTGCTGTGTTTTATCTGACATAAGAGATTAGTCATTATTAGGTAACTTACATTTACTGATGGTGAAGTAGAAGTCCTGGCTTGTCACGCCTAACCCAAACCATTCAATTTGTCACAGTTTCCTGTGTATAGTGAGGGATACCACCATAAAAAGCCTTTGACTCGGCTTGTAAATAATGTACATTTCTGTATCCATCAAATATTGGCTAAATAGTTGAAAATATATTAGTTTCATATATGAAAGACCACGGGAAATTATCATTGTCACATGAAACAGTTCGGTTTGTGGCTAGTTGAGATACGCATGTTAACCATTTGAAGCCATGTCCCAGCGTAACAGATCTGACATGGTTTTAGGTGGTGTGGTGGATACCTCCCTATTCTGAATATTATTTTAACGTTATTTTTGTGATAAAAATCCAGTAATAACTTAAGTCAGTTAGGCAAAGCTAGGCTTTCTTACGTACTAAGTGAGCAGATCTAAGAGAAGTGAAGTATTTAAACAGTAGGACACATACTTAACTGATATCGAATTTGTCCTGGAGTAACATTAAAAAGTCACAATTTAGTGCTCGATTTCTTGGATTTCTTCTCCTAAAGGTCATGTATAAAGTGATATGAGTGAAAATAATTTTTCATCTCGCGCTTTCTTTTCTTCGACAGCTCGCGATTTTTTTAGATTCCCTTCCAACCCAAAACAGTGTAACAATTCTACTTGACCAGTGGGCGTTTCACAGAAGGGGTGACCAGTGAGGAGATAAATGTCGTTAAAGACACGCAACATGTGACGCATGTTTGTGAACAAATTTTTAGTTTTTCCTTACACGAGTCATTACATTTACGTGTTAAATTTGAAAGGAAACCTCTCACTTTGTTTTCCATCAATTCGCCTACATCAACGTGTTAGTTTTAATCGTTAAGCACGATATGCTGGAAGTTGTATCAAGCCTTCAATAGGACATATTTCTAATTTAATTACATCTGCTTTGAAATCAAAAGCGATCCTTGGTTTCTGATTGGCTCTCAGAGCAATTATCAATTGAGTGTCGAAAGAAGTCTAGGATTGCGTTAATTTTGCTTAACTTCGTCCTGTAATTGGTCCAGAAAACACGCGCCATTCTCAGCCAATTAGAAAACGAACAAGAGAGACCACTTAGAGCAATTTTTTAAAGTATTTGTCGCATATGAGAGCACCTGTCCATACGTCAATGGTGCCTGACCTACTTCCCACTCCCCCCATCCTAGACCATTGGGAACTTTTCTCTGCGGCTTAGTGGGTTGTGCATTCAAGTTGTACATCGTGGCACATGGCGCATGGGTACTTTTCACTTCAACCTTGGGGAAGAGGGATCGCCGAGTAAGTTATACATAAGTTTCTCTCTCATTTAATGGTGCTTGCATTCATCAACATTACGAGAGCAAGTAAGGGGTTTGTAGTTTTCGAACAGTTTTTAAAGGTTTCTGACTTGTTATCTAATGTAACTGTGGCATTAAATTATTAAAATCATTGCATTCATTCCTTTTGTTTGTCTATATATTTTTTTTTTGGCCTGAATTTTATTTCGCCAACGTAACATTTATTGTTCTTAAAAAGAGGCGTTTACCAGAGATATGGGGGTAGGGTTATTTTTAGGGAAAGACTTGTGGTTCGAACGCACCTCTGACATTTTCGCCTCGGTCATTGTGAGAAAATTTCCGACAGATAGGTACAGTTTATCTTGTATTTTTCCTTTAGTGAAGTCACTTTGTTTTAACAAACACGATTGCTCCGTAAAAAAGTTGTATTTATGAAGCCATTAAGAAGACCTGATGGAAAATAAAAGATGTCCGGCCGGCGTGTTAAATCGCTAGCTAAGTGAATTCAAATAACAACACTCTTAATTCCTTTTAAAATATTTTCCTCAGACGGTGTCATAACAGCGGAGGTCAAAGGAAGTAGAGCATTAAATTTTAAGAAGTGATTATGGTAAGGTGGTAAACATTCTTGTTTGCTCGGATGGTTTTGTGATAATAAAAGATAAATTCAACGATTAGACGCCACTAATCAAGTTCAATCTGCATATTCATTTTATAAACTTCACAAAATCGTATTTTTCCTAACACATAGCGTTTGAAACGAACTGCAAACAAGAGCTGGTAACGAAGAGTCTGAATGGCCTCCTAGTTTAGCGATGCACAGAATAAGTTATTACTGAGGCTGGAAGTTGAATTAAAAGTCTTAAACAATGTTTTCCTCAGATAGTGTCATAACAACAAAGGTAAAAGGTAGCAGTGCATTGAAATTGAAACTGAAACTGAAACACAAAAATTTGAGATTGAAATTGAGAACCTGGCCAACAACCAAGTGCGCATAATTATGAAATGGGCCATGAAATTCCCATTATTTGATTACCGGGAAACACAGAGAAAATGGTTTGGGATAAAGGGAAAGCCATGGTACGTTTTTGTCGCGGTCAAAACGCACGCGGATGGTGAAGTTGAGGTAGAGTTCTAAGTCCGAGATGATAATTCTAAAAATGCTGCAAAGAAAAGTTTAAAATACGTCGATGGACTAAAGATGATAAGTGCACATTACAAAAGCTTAAAAGGACATGTAATAAAATGAAGCAGTGGTCATTATCTGGTGACACCATACATTGAACGAAAGGGATTAGCTGGAATAAGTCGAGAAGTAATCTTCACTCTTCCAAACTATTTGATCAGTGAAATTCCCAGGATTTTAAAAGTGAAAATATTTCAGAAAGTGTACAAACAAATACCGTCTAGCTTTGTATTTCCACTTAATTATCCTTTGATGAACCCTCCTGGCACAAGTTAGCAAAACCTTTTCATGTTGTGTGATTTTATTTAAGTTTATCATCTTTGTCATCATTCATTTTTGCTGCTCTCTTCAAGAGACGCGAGTGAAGGTAGAACACATCACCTCGGTAGGCTTCACGACCAGAGGGTCTACGCAATAGAAGTGACATCTGACGATATGCCACAGCCTGAAAAAGTCAATCAAATAATGTTTTCCCATTTCAGCCAAAAAATCCTGAACAAAATTAAATAAGATAATTACTCTCCAAAAAACTTATGCAAATGATGTTACTGGAATAGTCGGCTTATTGCACTAGCAGACAATATCCGATAATCACCCGACTCGGGAACTCGTTACTAGTGCTCCTCGGGCGTACCTCTAGCCGGTAGAATTTAGGCACTTTGCAGAAAAGTAAAGTGTGGAGCAAACGAATTTAACCCTAATAAAAATTGGGCAAAGTCGACTAAGTATGTAAGCTTTACCTCTGGCCGGTAGTATATTCTAAGTCTCTTGAGATTCTACCGGCTAGAGGTACAAGACAATAGAAATTTCATCTTGAGGATCTATCCAATCAGTAGCACTATGACAAGGGCATTATAGTGGCGATACTATTCATAACTTTTGTTTACCTTAGCAAGCGTAGGTCTTATCGGCTACAGTGTTCAGCTAAAACTCTGTTGAACAAGAAACTTGAGATCGACAAGGGTGAAGGAAACAGCCAAACAAAATTTAGCGAAGTTTCCTTGATTTAAACTCAAGAATGTATTCTTCACGTATACAGCATGTTATAATGTTCATGTCTGGTTCAATCACGTCGTTTGACTATTGGTAAAAACTAGAATCGTCCGCCATATTGGAATAGCTGACAATTTCCGCTAATCCTCGCTACTAGTACTCCTCGGGCGTACCTTTAGCCGGTAGGACTTAGGCACAACTTTGGATCAGATGTCATTTCTGAGGTCATGTTCATTATCATCACACAAACACATCTCTTCGATACGCTGCGATTCATTAATTGAACTATGAATCGAAGGTTATGGTGTGTGATTACTGTACTTTCTGTCGTTGCTCTTGTATTTGTAATGTCAACGAATTATAAGGACTTACTTGTCAGAAAACTAGGGGGAAGGAAAGGTATGTTCAAGCCGACTGTCTTAAAATGACTCACCTCTTCATCAAACAACTTTGCATTTAGAGAAATAATTTAAGTGGAATGATCTACAGGAAGTCAGTCAAGCACCCACCATTCCTTACAGTAATATTAGTAACTTATTTATGCCTTGTCACTGCATATCCAAAGATGAAATTATGACTGATGCCGGCTCTTTTACACTTCAGAAAAAATTCGATTGGCTTCTTTCTTTCATCGTGGGGACGATATCTCCCATGTTTTATCAAGAACTAGATTTTAATGGATTTTAACTGTCATTGCCATATTATACTACCCGGTTTTCCTCCTCGTCACTAGTGATTGACTTAAAATCTTTACGGCAAGGAGCCATGTGCGATTTCTCACGTTCATTTTAGATGGGAATTATTAACTAAGAACAGAGAGTAACGCAAGTCTTTTCTAGTTGTATTATGATATTCCCAGGATAGTCTTGATTTGATTTTAATTGTTGTTTATTCATTTCCGACGTTCTTCGATCTGGGTTTGGTCGGGTTACTGATTTTTCTCTCCTGGTCTTTCACAAATGATTGTTGTTGCTCTCGCGTAGCGTTGCGAGAAAAAAAAAACAAACAAAGAACAATGTAGCTGAAAGGTTGAGAAAATCCCTTAGTCGGTTTACGACAAATTCTTATCTATTCATAAAAAAAATTGTCAGGTGTAGATGTTTGATTGATAAGACAATAGTCTTGATCTTTCTGTGGACAGATTCTGCATTAAAAAGGATAAAGTGCGTAAGATTCAGGCCAATCTGCGATTACCCGTAAGCTCATTATCAGATACCTTCCTTCTTCATCTAAGTATGTTCAGAAAAGGTTCCGTGGCAAGGTCCACTGCACCTTAAGTACACACCAAACAAACAATTACTACAATGTGCATCTTGATGGAACTAAATCTCTGATTGGCTACCCGCGCGGACAAGATGAGCCCTTCTTTCCTGTTCGGAATTGCCCGCTTTGATCCCGCGCAAAGAAGTAAGAAAATTCCGTAGAGCTGACCAACAAATTGTCACACAATGTCTGCCATAGACTCGCGAAAAGCTGGAGAAGACAGTCAAAACAAAGAAAAATAGCTGAACAAGTTTCGTGAGTGATAAGTGTTCATTTATTGCTCAGCACTCAGAACTAATCAAGTTATTCTAAACGAAATATTTTTGCAATGTGACAAATCCTTCATTGAGCAAGCTTGTTTTGTCAAGAAGGCTGGATGTTAGCCTCATTCTTTGTTTTGCGTTTTCATGGACCTCAATTACACCTCGGCCAATATGCAGCCCTCTTGACCTCACAGTTTGTCCTACATAGCGCATACAACTTTTATAGAGCTGTTTCGAGCGACGTTGTCGGAAAAAAGCGTAAAAGAGCGCGCAACAACCCCGAAAGGTATTGTATATAGTTTTCTGGTCACGGTTCTTTGACTTCAAAATTTCAGGAAAATGTAAGGAAACATCACTGTAAGGACCAAGCATCGTGGGTTTGTTGCATTTATTTATTTATTTGACTTATCCAAGTTCATTGATTCTCAGATACCCAGATTACCTTTCGACATTGTCGCGTGCAGTTCTGTCGTTTTTCCTACAACCTTTCTCGAAACAGCTGTATGTCGGATATCACTTTATCGTATCCAGCTGTTGAGGTCGATGCTGTTATGTCTCCCTACTGTCTCACTGTATGTATAACTAAATACAAACATGTACCAATTATAGCGATAGAAAACCTTATAGTCATGGTGTATTCCACGCATCTAAATTATTTAGCCGTACTTTACAGTTCCTATTGAACATAAAATCGCAACCGGTGGTTTCTACAACAGAAACAAAGAAATACACAGAAGGCTTAGGTAGATAACAAGGGTAGTGTGAACAAAAGGTAGTAAACAACGATACCAAAGACAAACTGTTATAGGACAGCATGAAGGTACCTGACAGTTTAGATACATGAAGTAAGCAACAAGCGAAACTGGTAGGGTTACAATTTCTAATCTTAATTAATTTTCGCGCTACAGAATATTTAACCGAGATGAAGCTGGTGCTCAGTGCTTGAACGGCTGTAACGTTAAACATTTGTTGCAATGTCCAGGCGTAAGTGACTTAACACAAATGTAAATTTTCTTGTTCCTCAAGGCTTACGCCGAATACGACAATATGGGATCAGAAATGAGGATAAACTTAATCGTGAACTGTATGACGGTGTGGAAAGTTTTCTAATGTTCATCGGCTATCCTCGCAGTGGCCACACCCTGGTCAGCTCCTTGTTAGACGCTCATCCTAACGCCTTGGTTGCAAATGAGTTTGATGTAATTGGTGAATGGCAAAAGTGGACTAAAACCAACAGAAACAAGTATTACCTATTTGACCAGCTGTACCTGAACTCTAAAATGGAAGCTGATACCGGTTACCGATCGGCCACGGTCCCACATCGGTTCAATTATTCAGTGCCAGGCCAATGGCAGGGAACATTTAATCAGAAGATTTTGGTGAGTTCCAGTTGCCTCGTCCCTATGCATTCCTTCTCTAGAGCCTGGGTGCAAGTCAATCATTGATTAATGGCGCCGGCCGGGGGAGCAATTGACTTCTTAGAATCCCCTCATAGGGTCGTGAGTGCTAAACGTTTTGATACGGAAGTTTTTTCTTTTGAAGACCATGGTACACTGGATTGTACGTAATGATATAATTTTTTTTTTTAATATCATTGACTTATTATTTGCCAAAATTTGCTTGAATCTGCTTCAGCGCCGTATGTCTCTGTTTCCCCAAAGAATAATGTTGCAGTTCCTTGTCATAAGTGTAAAGATCTAAATGTCGTGGCTGTCTATGAAAAGCTTATTGGTGATAAGGTAGTTAACTGTATTCAATTCCTTACAGTGATAATTGCTTCCATTAACGAATAGGTAATGGGAGCTAAGAAGGGTGGTCATACAACCAGACGACTTATGAAACGAGAGAACCTGAAAGTACTAAAAGAAATTCACCAAGTTCTCAAACTCCCGATGAAGTTTCTTCATGTCATCCGAAATCCTTACGACAACATTGCAACCATGATGCTAAGAGATCTGAAAAAGAGACCGGACGCCGGAGAGAAGGTGATAAAATTATTTGACCGTGGGCTTTTAACTTACCTTATATTTAACTGTAAAGTGTTAATAAGTTCTTGCTGAAATAAAAAACAAGCCACAAACAACTCGGGAAGTATTCAGGGAAGTTAAATTCTGGTCCAGACAGTGATTCATTTAACCACTTCTATATTGTTTATGTAATTTTGTTTACGCCAAATTGTTTGTTTATCTTTCTTTCTGATCAAATACGTCGAGGATGAGGGTCACTTATAGTAACCTCTTAGCTTGAAATCCTCAAAATGATCGATTCCTTAAACTGTACTATGGTAAAACGCTTGTCCCCAACTGATTCTGAATCCAATGAACTGTTCATCTTTCACTACTTTTCTTATCTTCGTATATTTTAGAGATAAGCTCTCGAACGTCAGCAGTTGCATTTCTACCTCGTTTTTCATATTTAGGGTCCCTTTTGCCCGCTTTCACTTAACTATTGTGATCACTATCTAAAATACTCATGATGAATTTCAAACGTAACATATAAATTGTTCTTACATTCGATTTCAGATCAATGATACCGATAATTTGGATAAACAAATAGCAAAATACATGGCTTTGGCGGCAAAAAACAATCAACTAAAGAAAGTTCTCCCTGGGGAAGTTCATGAGATCCACAGTTCAGAGCTGATCAAAGAACCAAAGAAAATTCTGCTGGGAATTTGTCACTTTTTACACCTCACTTGCTATCAGAAATATATCGAGGATTGTTCTAAGAGAATATATCCAGAGGCCAGTAAAACGCGTTACAATGTGATTTGGACAGATCAGCAAAAGGAAACGGTTAGAAAAGAACTGCAAAGATTTCAATCCACAAGAGGCTATGGTTTTGACGATTGAATTTTCTTCTAAGGCCTTTACTAGGTAGAATTAGTAAAATGTGGTTTTAAATTTTAAGCGATAGAGATAAAAATCTCTTTGTTCTTGTTCTCATGGACAGTCAACCCCATCTCATTCCCTTTAAAAGTTTATCGAAAAAGAGATCAGGGACCGTTCGCTTCGGTGGGGGTAGGAAGAGGGTTTTGGGGGGATAACGTGGTTTGAAAGGGAAACGGAGGAGGAGGAATTGGTTGTCGTTAACAGAGTTTAAAGGGGGTGGGGGGGGGGGTGGGGCTATAGAAAATTGACTGCCAATTAACTGTCCTAGCAATAAATAATGACTGATTACTAATACCAAGATTTACATTGGAGTGTTTCAGCATAATTGTAAATAGGACTTAGCTAAGTGTTGGTCCTACGCGTTACCCATTTGTGTGGCATTCATTGTCATCAGTTTTCTTTACCTAGCTTAACCGTGAATGTATTCGGTTTTTCATGTATTTTATATGTATTTATCGATAAAAGATTACTTCACATTTTTAAACGTCGTTCTTTTTTACGAAACAGCATCCACAGGATTTGGTCGACCATCCAACCAAAGAAAATTGACCACAATGGACAAATTTTAAAATATTTGTTCCACATGAGAACAACTCTCCGTGCCTCAATGGTGCGTGACCTTCTTCCCCTATCCCAGTCCACTGGGGAATTTTCACTGCGGCTCGTATGGGTCGGGGATCTGTGCATGATAGCACGACACACTGTGCAAAGGTGATCTGGAGGGTTCCGTTGATCTGCGATGATGGCTGTCGCTAGTGGAAAAGACCTTGGTTAAAGTGAATCGAAGATAGCAGTCATTATTCCGCCCTAATGAAGAACTTATAGGTACTTTTCACAAAGAGGCAGGCAACATCGCGGGACAAACTGCCAAGTTATTTACGCATTTTTTTTTTTTTTTATTTAAATGAATGCATCTATTCATAACATCACGACGGTAATATGGGGTCCAGTGCCAGACCCCTTAAAGACCCTTCCTCACGGGCGAAGAAACACACGAGCCGTATTGCCAATAATTAGGTCCTGCTGGCGTGGTTGTCTTGAGGTTGTTGGGGAAGGGAGAGGAGGCTGGGCAAGTGTAAGGGTGGTACCTTACACAATCAATATTCTGAAGTGGTTGGGAAAGCGAAGCGCCTTGTGATGTAGAATTAATTGTACGAAGAAACAACAGAAGCAGATCACTCCCATGGACGATTTGCTTTAGTCAACGGCATTCTGTGGCCCTTGCTCTGAAAGGTTTACCTGAGAGGACCCCTACATGTTACCGCAAATTACACGGAAAAATTAACAGATTGCTTTTGCCTGGCGAAACGGAAAAAGCTAAGAAGGAGGGGCTGCTTGTAGTCTACTTATAAGTGCACAGCGAATTAAGCTGTTCCCATTTGATCCTAGGTTGATTCCCAGTCTGGCTTTCCAGAGAAAGCAAGAGGCGGCTCAGCTGTTAGCCCTTGTCGATCTGCAAAAAGACAGGAAATCCTGGTCGCAGGTCGATTCGGATGGATACTACACTCTGCTGTACGAATCTACAGTTATGAATGTAGTTTATTAACAAAGCACTGTTAACACGACGCAGCATGTATCTTGTCTCCAGTTCAGTTTCTTTTTATTTTCCTAGCACCGCCAAAACAACTGGCAAGTTGATTTCGTAAAAGGACACATTTAACACAAGCTGCGGTTGAAAAAAATATTAACACTTTTAAGAAAAATTATTCAAAAGATGCGATGAACTCTGTGACGACCTTCTTGAGCTTAGCATCTGTGTCTTCTGAGATGACACCCTCCTTCCTGATGGTCTCGATAAGATCCTTCTGTGATGTGCGGATGTGTTTCAGGAAAGCTTCTTCAAACGCTGTGATGCGGGAAGGGTCCACCTTATCAAGATGACCCCTAACGCCAGCATAGATCACGGCCACTTGCTCTGCGATTTCCATTGGCACTGCCAGAAAGAAAACGGCTAATAAGTAACAGGAAAATGAATTTACAAAGACCCCCACGGCAAGGGCACTAATGTCTTACACACTGAATGTAGAAAATAAAATACTATAAAAGGGTGCATACATCAGCTAGACCTTTCAGTCACTTACCGTACTGTCCTTGCTTAAGAAGTTCAGTGAGACGGACACCTCGGTTGAGGAGGGACTGAGTAGCAGCATCCAGATCAGAACCAAACTGAGCAAAAGCTGCCACTTCACGATACTGTGCAAGCTCAAGTTTCATGGATCCAGCAACCTGATGGACAGAAAAATAACTTTAAATTGTTGTGGACAACTCTAACAAAGGTCAAAGGTTTTAAGATTGAAATAAAATCAGTGTTTCTTTATATTCAGCTTGGTGGTGATGATGATGGGGTTGGCTGACACAATTCCTTTGGTTTGCTCAGTTTTTCAACAGAGTAAATAGTCTGCACTTTGTGAACCAAGCCAACTGATAAAAGGCCGAGCCATCCAGTGTAGGTTATTACCCACTTGTAGCCTTTTAGTAAAATACCAAAGATCCTTAGTAAACTCATGACCTCTAAAAAATCCTTGATGATTGAAATTAAAATAAACATAATAACAGTGATACATATAATAATAAACAAAAATAATAATAATAGTGATGATGATGATGATGATGATATAAACAATAATAATAATAATAACAAAAACAATTATTACAAAAAAGAAAAGAAAAGAGTGGGATGAGTCAGTATACCTGTTTCATGGCCTTGGTTTGGGCAGCAGACCCCACTCTGCTCACAGACAAACCCACATTGATAGCAGGACGGATACCTTTGTAAAACAGCTCTGTCTCCAAGAAGATCTGACCATCAGTGATGGAAATCACATTGGTTGGAATATATGCTGACACATCACCTGCCTGTTGGTACAACACAAACAGAAGTAAACAAATAAACAACTTTTGGTATAAGTGCAAGGCCTTGTTTATCAAATAATAAATGTGTACATGAAAAATTTGTCTTGTTCTAATTTTTTAGAGAATTGTGCATTTCTAGTGTAACATGGGGCAAATTTATAACACAAGTGCAAATTATGAATGAACTATTATTTAATGCTGTCAAGTTTCACTTGGTTTTAATTTCTGTCTTTCTTTTTTCCTTCTCTCAAGTATATCATAAATAAGAAATGACATGATTTCTTGTGTAATTTTGTATCTATGTAAGCAATTGCAAATTTTTTTCAGTCTCTTTGAACAAAATTTCCCTCAAAATCACCTGATTACCTATACTTAGGCAACAAAACAGTTTAGATGAAAGACTGTTCAATTTTATAGTGATTACAAAGGATTGTCTTCAAGTATTATTATGGAAGGCAAGAGCCAATAGATGAAACAAACACTACATACCCAAGGTTAAAAAAGTTGACAGCTTGGACATTGCTTTTTAATAACAGAAGCCCTCGCTGCCATATAGGTTGTGCTGTTTTTTTTCCTTTTAGTTTTTCTTTCTTCTTTCCCCAAAAGGACTCACAACATATTGATTTAAAACATATTGAAAAAGGAGGGAAAAAAAAATGTAATTCTATGACCTGAGTTTCGATAACTGGAAGTGCAGTCAGGGAACCTCCCTTGTTGTCATCATTCATTTTTGCTGCTCTCTCCAAGAGACGCGAGTGAAGGTAGAACACATCACCTGGGTAGGCTTCACGACCAGGGGGTCTACGCAATAGAAGTGACATCTGACGATATGCCACAGCCTGTAAAAGACAATCAAATAATGTTTTCCTATTTCAGCTAAAAAAAACCCTATATTTGCAAATGCTCAGGGCTCTCATGACCACATGACAAGTTATTTAATTTAAAAAAAATTAAATAGGATAATTACTCTCCCAAAAACTTATAGCCACTTAATTGAAAAGGAAAAAATAGAAAAACTGTTTCCCTTACCCATTCCTTTTCCTAACAAGAGCAATTTTAAAGAAAATACTCTACACAATCAGCTCCCCTCTCAAATTGATGATAACTGATGTTTATACCTTTGATCTTTATACCCTGTCAAGAAGCCATCCATTTCAGCCAGTGAAGAGCCACAGAGATTGTTATATCATTGTATGAAAAGGTCAAATAAATAAAGTTAAAAATAATCTCCAAGTCACATCATTCATACCTGTTTTGACAAGTCATCATAGATGATCAAAGCATGTTTTCCATTGTCTCTGAAGTATTCTCCCATAGCACAACCAGAGTAAGGAGCCAAATACTGTAGAGGGGCAGCATCTGAGGCAGTAGCACTTACCACAATGGTGTACTTCATAGCATCTGTACAGAGTTAAAAGTTCATTGCATAAAAAATGGTCCCAAACTCGTCAACTTTTACCTTTCAACAAAGTTTGTTGAAAGTTTTGTCAGTAAATTATCCCAAAAAGGTATCATCAACTGCTATATAGGCTGTAAAGTTCTCTGACTACCACCTCTCTATAAAAACACACTGAAAAGACACGTTTCTACAAAAGAAGCAACCAATCTTGTTCTACTTTTTCACCTAAAGAGTCCTACAAATGTTACAACAGAATCTGGAGCAAGGCCAAGAGAAACTACAGAACTTACCAGCATCTGTCAATCTCTTCACCAGCTGAGCAACAGTACTTCTCTTCTGTCCAATAGCCACATATATGCAATAGAGTTTCTTTTCTGGAGAATGTGCCAACAATTTTCATTAACAATAATATTTTAAAACAAACTTGGTTTAAATACTGTTGGACAGCTCTTAACTAATAGGGATGAGTTCCCTGATAAACTTGAGAAATGCCCTTGAAACCCAATATCATATTAATTATGCTATGGTAAGCAAATTTGGGACAAAAGCTAAAGAAAATCTGCTATTTGAGATCCAAATGTTCTAAGCACAATTATTTAATTTTTGAAGCTGGAAAAACAATTGATGCAATTGTCATTCATAAACATTACCAATGAAAAAATGGTAGTAAATGAAACTGTAACTAAAACTATACCATAACACTACAATACTTTGTTTCAGACTAATACACTTTCTGGGAATAGTTATTTTAACACTTACTTTCATCTGTTCCTTCATTAAATTTCTTCTGGTTGATGATGGTATCAATAGCAATGGCAGTTTTGCTAAAAAATCAAGCAAAACCAATCACATCTACCTTGTTCAACAAAGCCACAATTCATATGTACAAATATCCCTTCAACTAAATTCTCTTTTATCAATGAGCAGATATCAAGTAACTTATCATATCTCGTTCAGTTCAGCTAAAAATTGTACTCCATGTACTAATGCCACATAACCTATTTTTCTCCAAAAACAGAAATTTAACTGAGTCCATCATCATTACCAATTTCTCTTTAAATCAACACAAACATGCTTCCAATGCAGACACACTAAAGTAGCACTGGATATAGTTACATGAACTAGTTGAAAGTGATTTCCACCATAAAATAGTAAAAGCAACTGACCCAGTCTGTCTGTCTCCAATAATAAGTTCTCGCTGTCCTCGTCCAATAGGAACTAAGCTGTCCACAGCCTTGATACCAGTCAACATAGGTTCATTCACAGATGTGCGAGGAATGATACCAGGAGCCTTGATTCCTACACGAGCTCGTGTGGTGTCAGCCAGTGTTCCCTTGCCATCAATTGGGTTACCCAATGCATCTACCACTCTCCCTAACATCCCTTCCCCAACAGGTACGTCTACAATAGCCCCTGTTCTCTTTACAACATCTCCTTCCTTAATAAGCTTGTCATTTCCAAATACCACCACACCAACATTGTCAGGTTCCAAGTTCAAAGCCATACCCTGCAATTAAGTTTAAAATCTAATTACAATGTAGAAATGGATGAAACAGCACAGGTTCTCCTGTTTCAGAGATATGATATCTCCACTAGGCATAGTGAATGTACCATTTTTGTCATCACATGTGCAGATACCAATGTCTTTGTCAGAACAAAGGGTTTACCACATAGCAGTTCTACATTTTACAAAAGGATTTCTTAAACTAACAAACATCACTGTAATTGAATTCAACCTTCTAACTTGTAGTGAGACCTTATTACATCCTTTTGTCAGATGTTAACCCATTGACATCTGATGCGCCCTCATGCGCCCAGAAATAAAACCCCTCTGAAATTCCAATGCGCCCTCATGCGCCCTGTCAAAATTGGCTTGTTTTGATTGGCTGTAGCTTAGAAACAAAACTCCCCTGGGTATTGAAAAGCAGTGAAACGTGACATGCAAAAAATAAGCTTTTGTTTGAGACCAAACTCACCACTCCACGTTTACCGTGCGATTTTTGACAAATTTTTCAAAAATATGTCATGGTCTTAGACATGGCTTCTGGAAGAATTGATGAAAGTTAATTTTCATCCGATGAAGAGCATGAAGTCTTCGCTGGTTTTATCATCGAAGAAATTGAAAAAAGCGACAAGCTCGTCAAGTACAGCATGAACAAAACTTGCTTCGAAATGTGGATGACGAGATGGAAGACTTTTTCGACCTACGGTCGCAAGAAAGGGGAAGAAAGGGGAAGCGATTCCGATGTTGAGCTATACGCTAGTGAGGAGGAAGAAGAAAGCGACGCTAGTAGTGATGAAGAATCTGCCGCAGAAGAAAGCCAACCAAATGCTCTTCAATGGTCTAGCTAATTGCGACAAATTAATGTTGAGGAATTCTCCATTCGTCGTGGCCCGACCAGAGATCTCGGAGAAAATGCAACTGCTAAAGATTTCTTCAATGTATTTATAGACGATGCTTACATTGACGAAGACGTCCGATACACCGTTGTGTATGCTCGTTCGAAAGGGGATCGATCGTTCACATCTACCCAAGCAGAAATTTCAGCATACCTCGGGCTAAACATTTTCATTGGAATCCATGAACTTCCTCAGCTGGCAATGTACTGGGATTCTGACGAGTTTATTTGAGTTGATTGCTTAAAAAAACGATCCCAGAGCACCGCTTCATGACTCTCGGAAAATATTTACATCTTGCTGACCCGACCGCAGAAGACCGAAATGATCTCCTCTGCAAAGTTTGCCCCCTTGTAACTCGCTTGGAGCAAAAGTTTGCCTGAGCGAAGAACATATATGCATTGTTCAAAGTGAAACTTTTCATTTAGGCGTAAAAATTGGTTTGTTCTTGCTCATGACTCGCGAAAAGTAATTTTATAGCTGCGCCTTGTGACGTGTCGCGATGTCTCTATGGCGGGCAAATTCAAAATTGACCCGCGTTAGAAAGTTTAGGATTCCTTTTGTTGAGGAGGAATTTGCAATCTGTCTTTTGGTGTTGTATTTGAGGGAAAGCTTTTTACATGATTCTGATGGAATAAGAGTGCAAAAGAGAGTCATCATACTGATAAATACTTTCAAAGCTGAAGGCAACCTTGCCAATTACTCGCTGTACATCATGAAGTTGAATCCGTTCTCTAGCTTTAGAATTTTTTTTTGAGAGAGCCTGATGCTCAAATTGAAAATAAAATTTGACAGGGGGAAAGTATATTATTTAATATGCAACTTTGTGAAGTTTCCCTTCAGTAGAGTGAAATGAAGACATTAAAATCTTAAATTATTTTGGCAGTGGTCTGTGTGTTCACTGTGGCAGCCATTTTCTCTGGAATTTCAGGGGGTGGTCTGAGCTCTAAGGTGTGGGGCTCAATGGGTTAAAGTAAATTTTCTGTGAAAGTTTATATACATTCTGCATTCTGCAATTTTCAAAATTACCTATGATTCAAATATGCAGTCAATATCTAGAGAATAACAGAACATAATATGCCCATTTGTGGTTAGAATTAGTCTTCTCACATTGATAAGATCTCTCACTCACTTTGCTCGCTTGTGAAAGATAGTATTACCACTCAAAGATAAAATTTGTATTTATCCACTGCCACATAATATCCTCTATACATATTACAAGAGCTAATGAGAAAAACAAAAAAGTGCCCAACATTTTAGGTAATATGTGGTACAAACAAACACCTGCATAATACTATTAGCAAGCATCTCCAGCAAAACTGAGGAAGAGTTAATGCTCATGGTAAAAAGGTATGAAAATTGTCACAAACACAAGAAAAAATGCCAGTGTGATGGTCACTGAAAGCAGCTGCAGCATTTTACCTTGAGACCACTTGAGAACTCCACCATCTCTTCTGCCTGAATATTTTTAAGGCCATAAACACGAGCAATACCATCACCAATGGACAGAACGCGTCCAGTTTCTTCCAGTTCAGCCTTCTGTGCAGACCCTAAAATTCTTTGTTCCAAGATTGAAGACACCTCTGCAGTCCCTGAAACACAGAAATAATTCTGTATCGTACATATCAGCTTTAAGCAGTAAGCACAAGTAACTTTGTGTGGGATTCTAAGGAGAAAATATCCCTGCCCCATGGAGTAAATTTCAGTGGTGACTTGCCCACCTCTCTGTAATCTCAAAAAGCATTTTCCAAAATTACATATACACTAGTCAACAATGACAAATCATTACTAGCTAACTTACCACTACTTGCAAAGTGTGGACTAGATGATGTTATATTTCGTACAGCAACTGATACTGCACCAAGGGATCCATGATAAATCTGAAAACCAGAAACTCAAATTGGAACAAATCCTGTAACACTTTTGCAGATGTTATTTCATTCAGTCTACAACATTTTTACACTACACCCAAAGCCATATTTTGATTGGAAACAAGTATGCAGATAATTCTACCTGATACTGTTTTCAACAGTTCTGACAGAGTGTATGGGTGCAGAGCTGCAACTGCAAATTTTGTAAATCTCTCTCCTCTGGCTCAATTTACAAACTGAGCTAGTTGCATTCTCCCAACACTTACATTAGTGAACAGAGAAAAAAGAAAGGATATCAACCAACTGTACAATGAAATTCCAATTGTACAACAAACATTTGTAACTGAAAATGACCTAAAATTATTGAAACATGTTTTGTACACTAAAAATTGTTTTTTCCACAGTAGTTGGAAAAATTTAAGAAGTTGGATTTAATTCCTTCTACCATTCTCGTAACCTTCCAATAAACACAGGGTTACGATGAAGGCCACATCAAAAGCCCCCTTAATAAATTGAGGAAGACTTAGCATTTGCGAGATTTAAGTCTTGACGTTTACTAACGGAATGTGCCGTAACATTATGCAAAGTAGATAAAATGTGGTTTATAAAAGACATGAAACTCAATTGCATTTCTGGTTACAAGTTGGGTGGCTGACCAATAGTAAATGCGGCTCACGGCGTTATCCGGTACACCCCTCTGGACTGCAAAACCATTGATATTGAGTTACGGAAATGTTCCATCACTATATTCCATGGACAACAGAAATTTCAGAGAGCAATGAGTTATTCTTTTAATCCACTTCTTCGAATAAGATATCAAAGAAAGTTTTCCCTAGACTTTGTCGCCTATTACTGGGAAATTTCCGAACTTTTGATCGCTGCATCCCTTGAACCATTACGAGCCGATTCACGGTGCAACCAGGCCGCGCTCTTCCTTCACGACTTTAATTTGTCAAATACGACTGGGACATGGACCTAAAAGGGCTTTAACAAACTGATTACTTTACCTGAGGTGTTCTTCTCGCCAAACTTCTCGTTAAAATGGACGTGAGTCGTGATGAAAGCATGATTGCAAAGACTATTTTCCGGCAAATGTCCACGCTGCTACCTCTGCCAGAGAGAAGTATATCAGACCACGTGACCTTCTAGTGGGGAGAACAAAGGGCAACCTGGGTAAATTTTAGTTGATGACCGCTATCACCGGAGCCCGTTGCAGGAGCTAAGGGACATGTGGTAAGTGCATATCGTCCTTTCACGAAACTTCGGAAGTATTCTAATTTAAACAACAGAGTGTTGAAAATTAGGGATCGATAAAAAAATAAGCATTCGTAAAATTTCCGTACAGCCCCATCCTACATTATGCATTCAGTTCTTGGATAGAGAAAACAATGACAAAAACAATACATTGCCATTAGGAAAACAGATTTGTTTTACAACAGTATGGGGCTGTGCGGAAATTTTACCTAAGTATTTTTCTGGTCCGTTTCAGTGATGTACTCTGCATTAAGATCAAAATGAACCCGTTCTTTGCGCGCGCTCTTAAAGAGGGTATGTTAGCCAGGCTGAAGAGATATTTAAGTTGAAGACTTTATTACAATAGGAGTATGTGACTATTTCATCCTATTACAGGATGAAGGTAAGATTCCCACACAGCCCTGTAGTATTGTAAAACAAAACTGTATTCCTAAAGGCAATCTATTGTTTTCGCCATTGTTATCTTTATCCAAGAACTGTATGCATAATGAAGGATGGGGCTATGGGGGAATCTTACCCAGCTGTAAACGAGGCCTTCCAAGGGGGGGTTTTGATTTCCCCTTGTTGCTCGTATATCAACACTCCTGTCTCTTATTTGGTAAGGGACAAATGTTGCTGTCACTTCGAGTTCTTTACTAGAATAAAAATGGCGTTGTCACACTAAATTTGGCAATACAATCATTTTTGACTTGTGCCAGCACTGGGGCATGTTGTCTTTTTAACAAAGGATCAACCACACATAAATTTTTATTGGCTTGAGGAGTAGTAAGAATTACAGAGACCACTTCAAGGCTTCATATTTGTGTTTCATTATCGGTCGTTGGCCGATAGCTTCCCCACTCGAGTACTTATCTTTTACACATATATAGTGATGAAGAACACAATTCTCTCTAGATAAATGTTATATCATGGTTTGAATAAGGAGTCTTGACTTTTTAGTGGTTTATTAGTTTAGTGAGGCTGGAAAGATCACAAAAGAGTCATGCGGTCCTGGTCACAATGTCTCTGCCATGAATATCAAAGCAAAGAAATGTCACTTCATCAAAATTAAAAATGGATAGTCGCTGTTGCAAAATATTGCTTCTTTTCTATCAGTTTTTGTGGACTGTCGGTGCTCCTGAACAAGATTTTCACCATATTTTTTAGCAATGTTGCTTGTTGCCAAGATCCCTCGAAGGCCTTGTAAATCAAAACATCAAATATACATTGGGCTTTGTGAGCTGTTTTTAATCATATTAAATGTTTCTGTCAATCTGAAAAATAGGATGTGTAATTGTATTCATAATCTAGCAGACAAAATTTTCAATCAGATTGAAAATCCTTTAGGCATGCTTTAGTGTGGAGTTGCCACACTCAGTATACATACCTGGTGGGTACCCTGTGTTCCTCTTATCTGTCTTGAGTGAGGAGCTGGTAGGCCAAACTTCCAGTGTATTGATGAAATTCTGAGCCTGTTCTTGTGCAAAAAAGATTATTTTTCTTGATGTGACTTGTCTCTTAGTTAACATTGGCACAGATTCCAACTGTCAGTCTTAAGGAAGTGTCCAACTTAAACAATTACAGGTGGTGTCACCAGTAATTCAGAGATTAATGGTAATGAACATGTGTAAAACTGATACACATCTGTTTTAAGGTTTTTTGAAACTGTTTCCTCAAGGAGAGCTTACAAGTTGGAAGGGGAATATTAGAAAGAAAACAATGGAACAGAAATAAATTGTCAATCAAACATTTATGCCATCTGAAAAAGGTATATTCAATTCAAGAAAAAATCTCACTGCTTAATAATCCAGAACGTAAATATGCCAGGGTTGTTAGAAGGATGGATATTTCTATCTACTAGATAATCTCTGTTGAGTGGGTGAGTGTAAGTGGACTATACCATGTTAGTATGTACTTAAACAGTGGATAGCTTTTAGGGAATGCTCTAATTGGGTACTCAAACTCTGATATCTTTTGCAATTTACCTCTGTGCAATGTGCTAAGGGTTTGCACCCAAAAATCTTGTAATTGTTGGGGAAATAAGTTATTCAAAATCATCTTTTTGCACTATTTCATCTCACTGTTTCTGTACAGTCTTGTAAACATGTAATTCTTTAATTGCAATTATTTATTATGTTTCAAAACCAATTTTTTTTTCAGGACACACCTGTGACAAAAACCCAAGACCTCAGAGATGTCTGAAGTGACAGTCCTTGATTATGGAGCAGGAAATATCCGAAGTCTCATTAATGCTCTTAAACTTCTTGGTTACAATGTGAAATTTGTGAAAGATGCCAAGGATATCCTAAGTGCAGAAAGACTTATCTTTCCAGGTGTTGGAGCCTTTGGAAGTGCAATGGCTCTTCTTGAAAGCAGTGGTTTTGTGGAACCACTTAAGAAGTACATCCAACAAGACAGGCCATACTTAGGAATTTGTCTTGGACTTCAGACATTGTGTGATGGCAGTGAAGAGTCTCCAGGTACCAAAGGCTTGTCTGTGATACCTGCAACTGTGACACAATTCAACAAGGCTGAAGGTCTTGCTGTACCACATATGGGTTGGAATGGACTTAAGCTTCGTAAGGGATCAGCTCTGTTCCCAACTGGTTTCTCCAGTGAAGAAAAAGTCTACTTTGTCCACTCATATGCATTACATTCACAAAGCAAAGAGATCGATGAGTGGGTTCTTGCCACTACTGATTATGGAGAGGAGTTTATCAGCATTGTGCAAAAGGGAAATATTGTTGCTACACAGTTCCACCCAGAGAAAAGTGGAGAAATGGGAATTAAAATAATCAAGAGCTTCTTGGAAAGTTTTCCAATGAGTGCAAAGGTTGCAAGTATTCCCTACAAACTGCCTGATGCCAGTAAGCCAACACAACTTGGTCATCGCATCATTGCTTGTCTTGATGTCCGCAATAATGATCAAGGAGACCTTGTGGTCACCAAAGGTGAACAATATGATGTGCGCGAACAATCCATTACAGAGAATATTCATTCTGTCACACAAATTAAGGGTGCTGTGAGAAACCTTGGAAAACCTGTAGAGTTGGCACGCAGGTATTTCAAGGAAGGAGCAGACGAAATAGTATTTTTGAATATTACAAGCTTCAAAAACTGCCCTCTCCATGATCTTCCAATGCTAGAGGTACTTCGGCAAGCATCTGAAAATATTTTTGTCCCCCTTACTGTCGGGGGTGGTATTCGTGAGATACTTGCCCCAGGCAAAGATGGTGACCAATCAAAGATGAAGTGTTACTCAGCTGTGGAAGTGGCAGCTGAATACTTCAGATCTGGTAATGTATTCAACTTTTTGGTAAATAAAGTGACCTTTGTATGATACTGGAAACTAGTTTTGAATATTTGCCTATAATTATTGATTTTATGAAAGTGTTATGTGGTACAAGCATATATCACCAGTTGAAAACTACAGTTAAACTTCTTTGTAACAGCCAACCTAAGACAGAACTCTGTGCTGGGGTCATTTTAATGCTAAATAACTTTGATTATTATTTGTTTTGATGCAAACAAGAAAATTATGGTTCAATATCTGATCCTACTATGATATGTATTGCTGATGGTCCATTGTAGAGGGGTGTAGAAGTGGCCCTTGCAGAGAGTTTCAGTAAGAATAAACTTTTCAATAACACAGTTAAGGAATAGAGAAAAGTAAAGTGTCTGTGCCCTGAACTTAGCTCTAATCCCTGGTTACATATCTAATGAAGACTTCATGTAGACAAGCTTACTAGTCTCTTCCACCTTCAATGCTTGTTTAATAACTGGATCTAAACAGTGGATAACAGGGGACCACTGTACTATTTTGACAGGAGCAGACAAGGTGTCCATTGGCAGTGATGCAGTGTATGCAGCTGAGAACTTCATATCATGTGGTGGGATTGCAACTGGCCAAACCTCTATTGAAACAATAGCTGCTGCATATGGGCGTCAGGCAGTAGTTATCTCAGTTGACCCAAAGCGAGTTTGTGTTCCATCCCGTGAGGCTGTACAGCATCATGTGATTCACACAAGTTACCCTGGTCCATCGGGTGAGGAATACTGTTGGTACCAGTGCACAGTGAAAGGAGGGAGAGAGTTGCGAGATATTGGAGTGTATGAAATGGTGCAGGCATGTGAAGCTCTTGGTGCAGGAGAAATTATGCTTAACAGTATTGACAGGGATGGGTGAGTAACAATGTAAATCATATTATGTAAATCAAAGTTCACTCAATTACTGCAAAATGCAAGTCCAACCTTCAGTTAGTGTATTCCACTGCTTGGATGTAAGGTGTGCATTTAAGGATTTAGTGAAAAGGAGATCACTGATAGGAATCAGGCTCCATACACAAGGACATTTCAGCCAATCTGTGAACAGAATGGACTGAAAGGAGGGTGGCTTTCAAGCAGTAACTCATCTCCATGCTCTATTTATGTGGTGTGAAACCACAGTGACATAATTTTTGATTGGATGAAGTTGATCAGATGGAAATCCTAAAAGAAAGTGTGATAAATTGGCTGAATACTGAACTGGAAATGTGATTTTAGTCTTCACTGATTGTAGTACTAGCAAGAAGTTGGTGTTGTGGACTAATAATTTTCTTTGAATTTATTTTGGTTAGAACTAATAGTGGTTACGATCTTGAACTGGTTGCCATGGTCAAAGAAGCTGTTGGTATTCCAGTGATTGCTTCTAGTGGTGCTGGTCATGTCAATCACTTCTCTGACGTGTTCCAAGATGCACATGCTGATGCAGCACTAGCAGCAGGAATATTTCATCGAAACACAGTTTCAATCAATGTTGTTAAAGAGCATTTGTTGAGTGAAGGAATCCCTGTTAGAGTTTAAACAGATGGCTAAAAAGTTACCTTCAATTTACATCTAGACACTGTCTATGATTTCGTATCATGATATTTTTTATATTAACTAGTCTCAACAGAGGGTAGAAATAAGAACTCACTCAAGAAACCTGTCAGTCAACTATTAGCCAACTGTTGGCTAAAATTTCAAGGATAATTATAGTCAGGGTGAAGGGTTGAAAGTTGTTCATTGTTAACCCTTTAACTCCCAGATATGATAAACATGTAACTTCCCCCTATAGTCTCCATACATTCAGCAAACAGGTAATGAAAATACTCACACTTATCAGGTAGAAGTTGCTATCTTGGTCTATCACCAAATTCTCACAACAAATCAGATCTTGGAAGTTAAATGGTTAAAACAATTTAGTTGTTGCTGAGAAAAACAGCCATCTCACATTGAACTCTGTATTTATTCTTTCAAAAGGCAACCTGTAAAAAAATGCATCTAAATTCATACAAAAACAAAGAAGTTGGATGATAAATAACTCTCACACATTTTGGTGTGTAGAGTTGCTGAGTATTTTTACTCATTGTTTGTATTTTATAGCACAACTTGCCAAGATACTCAGTGACACTACACACCAAAATGTCTAATAGGATATTTATCCCTTTCCTCTGGTGGTCAGCGTTTGAAATATTTCATGGAGTTTTTTAGTGAACCTTTCATGTAATGAAGATATATGATAAGGAACCAATCAGTCTTAAGTGATGCACAGTTGTTTGTCATTATCATTTTATTACTTAATGCATCATACATGTATTTATTAAAGGAAAATTGATAAGCAATGTAATATAAAGTAAAAAGACACTGGCTGTATGCATTACATTTGCTTTACTATCTCTAAAATTTCTGTCATAGATTATGCTCTAAACAAACCTGTTCCTAGCATTCAGTTGTTAAAACAAAGTGCAATAGCTAATGCCAAAATAGTAGTAGAGCAGTGAAAAAAGGAGTGATGTTTGGGTCAGGTCTCATTCCTTACCCACACCTTTGCTTTTTCACTCTACTGCAAACATCACCCCAGTTTGCTAATTAAACACCTGGAACAGGCCATGTTCTCTCACACACACACACAAAAACCAAAGGTTGTAGCACTAAACAATCACTATGAAACAGATAAATGTTATTGATTAAATGAAGTAAAACCCTTAATGACTTTGAACATTAAGTTGTCTGATGGCATGGTTGTGTCATGATTCAAATGTTTTCTTGGTGTAATAAGAGTTTTGGAAACAAAAGTTGCAAAATTTGCCTCGTGATACTCGTTGTCCTTCATTTCCCTGCAATGTGATTGGTTATTTTCAGTAAACCTTGAAATCTGATTGGTTGTTTTGTTTTTAGTGTAGCCTCCTCATTGGCTGGGAAAAAGATGCAATTTAAAGCAAAAAATGGTGGGATTCAAGAATAAATCACACCAATTAGAGCCAATCAGATTACAGGGACCACCAGTGATTTCAAAATGGGTGTAATAAATACGGTAATCATATTTTTAACAACAATATTGATTATCAATTTTTAGTTATGATATCAGAGATTCTACCAAGAAAGTCGCCAAGAGAGTAACAAATTGAATCTCACAAATGAAAATAAAGAAACAACTGTTCTGGTGTCAGTAGTTATTTGACAAGCATCCATTAAAACAAAATTTATTTGAGTGGCAATGATCATGCATTGGATTAGAATTATTATGTCACCTACTACATTGAAATTCCAGTAACATTTTATATCACTTTTGTCACTAAATTTATGTGAAACACTACACTGCCTTTACTAATAAGTAGTTAAAAATTGTCTGAGACCTTCCCTAGGTGTCAAAGGTAAATTTTCTCTTTACAGCCCAAGGAAACGTCATAACATGTGTGTGTGCTTATATCACTTCTCAGTGTTTAGTTGCACATTCCTCAGGGAGAATAAGCCAAGGTGACATCCATGTCTTAAACATTTTTCTCTCAGAGACTAACTGCTTGAAATTCAGAGAAACTTAGGGAAGAAATGCTCCTAGTGCAATCAACATCTTGATTCTTGGCTTATCACGTAAATCCACTCATCACAATTCCCAAAATGAGAGCATTCTCTGCCCCTCAGAATGTATGCCCTTCCAGGAAATCTTCACTATGGGCTTTCCTTTCAATTGACCATTTGTACGTGTGCCAGCTTTTCAAGTTCTCAAAAAATTTATTACTAATTTTTGCATCCATAAAAATAGATAACAAACAAATACCAAAACAGTTATCATCTATTCATTAGCTTGTGTAACTTATTTAAGTGATTAGCAGCTCTCTGCGTAATATTCAATGCTGCATGAATTGAATTTAAGCCAGGTTCCTGCATCAGAGACATCCCGCAAAGTCCAAAATATGTATGCAGAGCATCTGAAAAAGAAACAGTACTGTATGTTCATCATAGATTTACAACAGTCTACAATAAATTGATAACCTGAATCTGTGCAATAGTTAAACTTGGTGTCTTTCTTAGGGCTAAGTTTGACTGTCTTACCAGGATGGTTACCAGGCCACTTGCTGAAGCCTCCTGTCATTGTTGCTTGGGCTGAAATAAGGTACTCCCGATTGGCTGGGAAATCCACGCATGAGAATGCACCAAGTAACTAAAAACACATACAAAGGAAACTTAGTGTCATTGCTTCTGACAGGGACAAGTGAAGGTCTATTGTAAATTACTCCATCCATAAATCTGAATTCCATTTATCACAAAGAAAAGGAGGCTAAATGCATTTTCCATCAGATTCAAAGCAGAAGAGCATTTGAGAGAGGCACTTAATAAGGATCACAGTCATGTACTGGTAATTAACATATTTTAACAAATTTCAATAGTCCTTAACTTCATACCTCTAATGAAGCTCCAACCCAAAAGGAATAACATGTATCAACTGGTTTATTGGGGCGACCCTGGAAGCCTGACTTCTGACGCACTAGACACCACCTCTTTATTCTTTCAAGTTCTTTGGCCTCAAAGGAGGAATCAAGCTGATCCATTAACACAAGAGATGCTAAAGCACAAAATGTGGACCCACCTTTAAAGTAATGACCATAAGAATAGATTAATTAATATTAAAGAAAAGACACTCATATTATATCATCCTATCACATAGCTTATCTTATTATATCTGGTATCTCACAGTTTATATGTGTAATACGATTAATCAATTTAGCTGGCTGTATTTCACTGTACAGCCCTCTATGTGCATAAGTTTGTTTGAATTGAAATCTTTCCCCACTATTTGAACTCAGAGATATGATAAATATTTTACTACCCTCATTTTCTTGGTTCATACTGTAAGTTGTCACTGCACCTGGTTTTTCATGCTCTGATTTATGGTATGCCCAGTTCCTCTTTGGCCATAAATCCAATGGAAATAACTTTGTCTGTTACAAACAGTAGGGAGCTCAAACTTGGCTAGTGAAAGGTATTTATCAATAACTCCTTGTTGAAACTTCATTGAAAGGTTTTGCTTGATTATTGCTTCACTTAAATCACTAGCACAAGGAGCTGATAGAGGTGAATGCCACTAACCCATACATTTGTAGCTCATCTCTCTTTTAGCAGAAATTCTAACTTAAGTCCATGATGGTGACCATCTTGGCCACAATTTCAGGTGACATTCCAGATAATTCCTGAACCCAACACATGTAAATCATCTTGCACAGTGCACATAAATGTTTAAAAGGATTAAAATTGTTTTAATGAATGTTATGCCAGAGGTTCCTTTGACCCAGTTTGCAACAGGGAGGGGATAACAATCAGCTTGAATGTGAATTATGTTAATCAAAGTTAAAATTTTTGAAAAGTCAATACCACAATTATATTAAATAACTCCTAATAGAAAGAAAACTGTTCCATTATAACTGACCATGAGCTTCCAAGCTAGGTCCTTGACCAAATCCAAAATCATATGACTAAAGAACAAAAAATGAGAGGAGAAGGTCACTTTTTTTAAGTTTTATTGTCACTTTTTAAGTTTTATTGTTGATAAGCAATGTTTGTAATATGTACAAACAAGATTCTCAAAGTTCCAAGAAAAGCGCAATGTAATGATATTTGAGTACAAATATTCATACCCTGCTTTCCTTGATGTACTGAACAACTCGAGGAATGTCCACTCCACTCCAGTCATTTAAAATGTAGCTTATACAACAGGCACAGTAGATAAACCTCATGTCATTTTCACTACCATCCATTGTGGGCTGGAAGCTGTAAAATCATGTGGTAAAAAATACAAATTTAAGCCAAATGTACCACTAACTGTTTATATATACTTAATTGACCTCTTCTCAAACGGGGCATTTCAGGGCCTATACCAACAAAATTGGAAACAAATGTGTTTAAAAATATCAAATGACTGGAGGCAGACTAGACCAGGCAGACTAGCACAGCATAAAATATGAGCTTAGAAGAACAAGAACAAATCCAGTGAGTAGCAGAGTGAAGGGCTTGAACCCAAATAATCCTTCGATTTGATTTGAGGGAAGATGTATTTTCATGCAAAAGCTCACCAGGTTTATTCATTGGTGAATTATAAAGGTAAAATGCTATTTTAAATATTTTTCACATTTAAAGAACTGACATTTAAATAATTATGGAAATTTCACAAAAAAAATATCAATTCAAGCAGAGTCTCTTACACATGCACTAGTGAATAAATATGATTTTACATTCAATTTCTTAACCCTTTTACTCCCAAGATATTACTTGTAATTCTCCTTACAACCTGGTATACAATTTTTATGATGTTGATTCTAAGAATTTGGTTCAGAAAAAAATTATAATTCCCTCACTGATATTTTTCTTTATCCTAATCACTTGTGTTCTTGATATTGTAACAAGAAATTCTGTCTTGGTCACTAACAGGAGTTAAAGGGTTAAATGACAAAGTTATTAGTCCAACTGTATAATAATCATACTTGTATAGCTGCATAAAAACAGATCACTGACCTGCCATCAGGAAGCTGTAAGGCCTTCAGAGCTGCAATTACGGCTGGTCGATTCACTCTTGATAAATCATCTCCTAAAATAAGCAGGCTGGCCAGGGCTGTGTAAGTCATAGCAATATGACTACAGTCATACTCACAAACATCCTTTAAATAAAAAAGAAACCTTTACTTCTGTTGAAAGAAGATCATCATTACAATGAAAAACAATAAGAAACTTGATGATATTTGCATGAACTGAACTTACAATGACAAAACCCAATCTAAAGGGAGCTGACAAGAAGGAGAACAAAAACCTTACAGAATGCAAAATGCTGAGAATAGGGAGACAATTTTAAGCTTGTCTGATAGAACATGCATTAAATGCAAGAACTAAATGCCCAGGGATGATCTGAACACCAAAAAGCATACTGATAGAGGTTACTATCACTCAATCACTGCACAAAGTGGTTCCTGTAGACACAAATAACTTTAACCCTCTCACTCCCAAGATCTCATCCTTACTGCCTGCCATAAAATACTTATGATATCAATTTGGAGAATTTGGTAGTTCCCTAATTGAGTTTTCTTCTCTATTCTTGACACTTGTATGCTTGATACTGTATTGATAATGTAGTAGAAATTCTGTCCTGGTCATAATTAGGAGTTAAAAGTTTAAGTTAGAACTCACCCTATCAATTGCCCTAAAGTGAAAATGAACTGACAGTCACCAAACCCCTTGTACACTCCTACACTCAGTGATTTTGCATAACACAGTTTCAGCTAAGTTCGTGATATTTTCTAAGATGTACTACCTGGTAAAATATTTCCAACAAAGTCATTTCCCACTGAATGAAAAAAACCTAGTTGTTATTAACAGGCATCTAATTTTTTTTTAAAAAGTGGGAACAATAACACTATATAAAAGATAAACGTAATTGTTACCTAGTAGCTACTTAATTCCTTTGAAGTGGGAACAACAAAACCACAGCAAAGGAAGTCTGTCTGTAAACCAAAATGCAACAATTTACAATAACTGTACCTGTGAGAGCATTCTGTCACAGGCTGTTGTTGATGATCCCCGGAAACCGCATCTAAATATACTTGAATTATCTAAGGCAAAAAATGTATTATAAATTTATATGCATTTTAACTCCAAATGCTTTACAAAGAATTAAACCCTTTGACCCCTCAAAGTGATTAACATCTAATTTCTTCTTACAATGTCACCCCTGAAACACCAAACTAAAGAAGCTCTTAATTGTGAATTAAATTCTCCTTGTAAGAACCTTAGGAAATCTATGGAGAACAGAATGAAGAATATGCATACTGTTGTTAAGATTTAAAGGGTTGTAGATAGATGAAGCATTTATAACCAAACATACATGTAATTAAAAACACACAGCCAGGCACATATTTCATACTTTGTTACAATGGGATAATAGATCATGGACAACCTCGGTATCTGTGTAAACAGGGACTACTTATAACTGACTAGTGTTGGTATTTCGATGAATCAGTACAACTGAGTCAATACAACTGAAAAATACTTACCAGATTCACTAGGAAGCTTTTGGTTATGGTATATCCATTCAATAATGTTGTTTTTGTCATTTTCAACTGAGTCAAGTGAATTCAATATATCCAAACCAGAAAGAGCAAAGAATGCCACAGTTATTCTACAAAATAAAATTATCACATTATCTGAGGTAAAACAAAAACACCTATGATGAAGTGATTAATCTTCTTAATCTTCTACATTGTTTCTGGACAAATTTTCAAAGTCTTATTCAGTACATAAATGAATGATTAAATACAAAAATAAATAAACATGCTTAAATATATACTTAAAAACGACATTCCTTAACATGATTCCACAAAACCAAAAATTTCTACATCTAACAGGCCTTCAGTTCACACAGAGTTGATAAGTCACAAATTGCTCCGAAAAAGCCTGGTCAACTTCGAAAATCAATATTGATAAATTCCGGACTGACATCCATCCCTGTTGTTTTAAAGAGTAAATGACGGTGTATGTTACAGAGCTCAATTAACTCTTCAAAAGAGTTAATGAGAAAGTTCATTTAAGTTAGCCGGGCTTACAGATCATTCTTCAATATTTCGTAAGCCGTATGCAAAAGTCATCAAAACATCAGGAATAAAGAAGAAATACTGTGACAGTCGTAGTGATGGCCAATCTGTCTGACAGTAGTGTAGAACGCAAAAATTTGCTTAAGGAAGAGTATAATAAAATCCGCTAGGTGCCATTCGATGGCAAGTAAACAAACCTGCTGGTATCTAAAGAGCTATAGGGCGATGGCAGTACTTCTAAGCATCGTTTAAAGAACTGAATGTGCTTTCTACAAAGAAAATCTTCCTTTGCAATTTCCATAGTTTTTTCGATCTCCACGATCCTCTCATTAATTCCAAATGCTTATCGTGTAAGCGTCACTGAGGTGTTTGAGGATCACACATGACGAAGAAAAAGACTGGGAATGAGGACTGTGAATTTTTCATTACACCATTTACAAATAGGTGTGTTGCAGTCAAACGGGGCAAATAATTTATTTCTGTTCATCACAGATCAATTCTATTGGAAATCAACATGTTTAAGTTGGTCTTGGGTTTTTTTTTTCTTTTTTTTTTTTAGCGAAAAGCTAGCTGAGTAACCCTGTAAATTTTTATTACCATTCACGAGGCCAATCTCTGGATGGGTGTCGATCGTGTCATGACCAGAAAACTTATCGAAACTTAACAAGACTCTAGGCTTTGCGCGGTGAAACCAAATAAATAGATAGATAAATAACTAATGGGGAACAAATTTATAAATCTGCCGGTAATCAACTCCACAAGTTCCACGGGGACTAAGCGCTTTCAGCTTTATCGAAGTAAGAAAATTTTAAGATTTTCTTTCCAGAAGAGTATTCTAAATACAGTGGAACCTCTCTTTTGTGACACCTCTACTCAGGGAACACCACCATTCCATGGAAACAACGTTGTTCCCGGAAAAATGTTCATATAACCTTTGTATCTGTAACTCCATCAAAGGGCCATCTCTATTCAGGGGAAATGGACCTTTTTTTGAGGATCCAAAGGTTGGTTTTAACCACTCACACGAATCTACATGCAAAACCTCGAAGAACCAGTCTGACATTACCACAGGTTTTCTGTCCGCTGGCTACTTTGAAAAGATAGAGGGAACAAGCTATTGCAGGTCGCGAAATTTACCTGGTGCATTATAACTTGTGCCTACCCGTGTCACTCAAATCGGTCAATTCTACTTTCGGGAATTCAGCACACAACATTGCAATATTTTAATCACAGTCTTTTGTACATCGTATGGTGCTTGAATTAACGAGTCCACCGGATTCCAAGCCAGAAAAAAGTTACAATAATAATAATGCTTTATTCACAACTCAGTCGGAATATTTACAGATCGATATAGAGCGAAAACAAATCGTCCTTTTTGTACCAAAATGTATATTAACTCCGAAGAACTTACATTATCAACATAAAAAGCAACGATTTAGAATTCAATCTCTCAAATACTTGTGAACGATAACTAGTCTAAAAGTCAATATTTACAAAGAGAAGAAAAAAGGAACATATAAAAGAATGTACGTCTAAAATTCAATGGACATGGCCCTTTCTGTTGTTTGGATATCAATGTTCTTAATGTCGCACGGGACTCTCTTAATAGTCTTTGAGCCTCTCAGACACAATAGAGCGGATCTTAATAATGAGAAAGACGTTTTCGCTCTGATACATTAGATGGTCTTCGCATAACTCTCTACTTTCTTAGTTGAAATCAGCTCAGCCAGTCTGCTATGGCATATACCGCATTCTTTTCCCGTACCTCCGGTTGTGGTGAAGACCACTGGTGTAAATGTACCATGTTTAACTTCAATAACTCTGTCCCCATTTAGACGCTTCTTCACCTTTTCGTGCATTCTTAAGATCTACTGAGGTTCAAGACCTTGATACGAGTCTGCATTTGAGTGACATACCTTAACATCAAAAAAGGCAGATCGTTGCATCGTCTTTCCCATAATCCACGTGCATGAACGTCCAGTTTTTCCCTCTACTTAGTTGTTCGCCTGATGTTCAGACGGGTTCTGTCTGAACATCATTGCATACCATACAAAGTAACTCAGCTTCGATATCGCATGACTCATTATGGCGCTGAATTACAAAACCCTCCCGTTTACAGATAATGGCATGGTCCACAGAAAAGGTTTCGCCGCAAACGCATGTGCGGGGAGTGTCGTCAATTGGCCAATCGTAGCTTGATAGCGTCTCTAAACTCCCTCTTGTTCAGGTTAAAACCCATTTCTTTCATCGGCGCCACCGACAGCCAAATGGATGTTCCTTTTTCTCCAGCCAGATCTAGAGATCTTGATACTTTTCTTGGTACTGTGTTCTTGATATGATCGACTGAGTTTTTAAGTGCCTTTTCGCTCTCACTTCGGGCTGCCTGCTGCGCTGAATGCACATTGAGGTCAACAGTGGTAGCTTATGTGTGTGGGAAACGATTTTCTCGACTAATGGCATGGTTGCTTTCACTGACAATTGATACCAATATGTAACCAATATAACCAATATAATAATAATAATAATAATAATAATAATAATGATAATAATAATGACAGTGGTTTACTGAAAAACTTTAATAGAAATGATAAAACTATAGCTGTTTGACATTTCGATGTTGCGGACATCATTATCAAGGTAGAAATGACAGTTTTATTGCAGTTTGAATGTAAATTAGTGGAACTAAAGTAATACACACTTGCATGTTATCTCACTTGAATAGTTTCGCGCGAATTGAGTTATTTTGCACGTTCAGAGTTGGCTTGAGATCTTGAATAATTATCATTTTGAGGATAAGTCAATCGAATTTGTTGCAGCATTTTTCCAATACTGAAAAGTTGTTAATTAAAACTGGTTTTGAGGTTCTGTGGGTGTTAAGCATGTGTTTTCGGCAAAATGTTGATCGAAGAGTCGGTTGGTGTATCGAACAAAGTTCATATCACATAGACCACATTTAGAAAAGTGCTAAAAAAAAAGTGATACTTGCATCAACGTATTGCCGAACACAGTACCCTGAATCCGTTAATTGGAAAACACATATATATTATTTATAAATAGGATGTGGTGTAATCACTTACAATTTTGTAACCCAAGAGAATATTAATGTAAAATCTCTTGTCTAACTATAGACTGTTACACATATCTATGAAGGTAAAACCGGTATCAAGCTGTCTTACATTCGCTCTGTAAGTTTCCAGTTCATGTGTGTGTTGCATCCTGCAAGTGACCACTTCATGATTTTACAAATTTTCGCAAATGTAAGCATTTTAAGAAGCACAACAGATTTTCTGAAAATATAATGTCTTCTCACAATCTAGAAAGGGGATACTTTGGACATTCAATGGAAAGGGTCAGTTTAGGGTACTTTCAAACTACTTCCCGAGCCCCACCCTCAATGTCTCTTACCAAGATGCACGAATTAGCCGAAACAAACTTGTTTGTTACCATATTTATTGAATTAAGTGTACAAACGTTTAGTAAGTTCGTCTCGACTTCACCGGTAGGATTTCAATACGATCCGAGGTGACAAAATTATCACCCAAATTTCAACCCAAAAATTTTTCCAGAAAACAAAATTCGCTAAATTTGCTTTTTGTGATCATAAGTAAACCGATCTCATAATTTGAATTTGTTCAAAGTTACCTTTAAAATTACTGAAAAATATATAATCAACATTTCTTGAGTCAACTGGGCTGGAAGATCTCTTTTAATTAATTGTAAAGAGTGTATTTGCCAAAGTGTCAGTTTAGATCGAGAAACCATCTCAGTTATGGCGAGTAAATTCATGAATTAAAGATTCTTCATTTATGCATAAGCCTTTTTTCCCAGTTGTGAGAACGATTTCGACCACATCAACTTGTCTTTGTTCATTATCCTCTCCGTCTTAATGACCACAGCAGAACCAAGTAATTGAGTTCAGCCACTGTATCTCCATTGTGTCCCGTCATCCTCTGGTGTAATTATGCTGTGCTTGTCTGTGTTTCTTCTTTTTGTTCCATATTCGATCCACTCTAAAGCGACTGTATTCACTAATCTTTTCACCACACTTTGGACAAGTGTGAACTACATTCTTGAGCCCGTCCATTATAAACGGTATCCACATACAACAGTAACACCTGAAACGTAATACCACCAGCTTAGACATTCGAAATCACGCTGGGAAACAGGAAAGTAACCATTACAAAATATTTGCGCATAAAAAAGCCTATTAACTGTGCCTTTTAAACTTGCCGTAAAATTACGAAGATTAACGAGAGTAAAAATTGTGATGGAAAATTATAGGAATAGAAAGGATAAGAGAAATTTAAAAAAATAATAAAGTGACTGTGTATTTCTCGGCTAAGATCTCCGGCGGTGATTTTTATTGCTCAGCATGATAAGCTTCTTGTAGAACTAATACAACATTGATTTAGTTTTTCACTACTTTATTAAGGTCTATTGCTCGATGTGGCAAAAACATATGAGATCAACTAAACAGAAGCTGTTTTGCGAAATGCAGTCTAGGAGTAGGGTTTTTCATTAGTAAAATGACGTTTTGAAATTAACAGGGATAGGTTGAAAAATATATCTCATCACTGTGAAAGTGATACCATACCATGGTAATAAACAAAGCAAGCGTTATTTGTCAGAAAAAGTCACGTGAATCTCCCAAGTTGACGACTTGAAATCAAATGCATCAGACACAAGGTTAAGGTTTTTTGTGTGGCCTGGAGCCAACCTTTTAAACAGGAATGAAAATAATTTAAAAATTAAAAAAAAAAGAATGAATAATAAAAATGAACGACACCCGAGAGATAACACAAGATAAAATTCTTTCAATAATAACCTTTTACACCAGTTGAAAAGGTTATTGCTTTTTTATATTTCCTTAGAATTCAATGTTGTTACTTCTAAAACACGTTTCTCGGGAGTCCATTCCTTAACAAGTGACTCTTTTAGTATTCAAAGATTTCTTTGTCCCTTTTATCAAATGCAATTTGAATAAGCTTCATTTATTTCAACACGTTGTTGATACTCTAGCAATAATTAAAGGTAGTGCAACACGAATCAACTTTTCAAGTTCGAAACTGTTGAAAAAAAAAAACCCTATGCGACATGAAAAATGTATACCGGGCAGACAAATAATTAAGAACAGCGTCGCTTGTAAATTTTCCCTTTCATCCTCACGTCTCAGCTAGTTGGAAAATGAATACAGAAAAAAAAATTGAGCAGGTGGAGAAGCTGATGAAGTGAAGCTGATTAGTAACAAAGGTTTGTTCTGTATCATGTCAGCATGAGGTGTCCCCTCCTTTATGGTGCGATTGTTATATGAAAAGAATGTTTTGACAACTATCTACATAACTGAAACATTTCACGCCAGGTTCTCGGTCAAATGATTGGTTCTCGTTCGGAAGATTCGTTTTAGAGCGCGTAGCGTTAGGGCACTAATTGATAAAAGGTGATGTGTTTATATCGAGTTTTACGACACAGGCTCCTCAGTAAAGCTGATTACTGTTGCTAAATCCAAGTCGCGCGAAGAGCTACTCATCTGCATTCGATAAATTAAATCAGTACTGTTTATTCTATATACGGCAGACAGTTTGCAAAACAACCCTGTTTGATTCGATTTAAAATAGGTGAAGTCTGAAATTAAATGTACTGTATATGATCTCAGATGAAAACAAAGACCCAAACTTATTTAATTTTACTGACTTTTGATCCGAGATTGTTCCTAAATAAATTTCACTTCAAATCGTGATAACTGACTAAAATTCCATTGACAAACTTTGATTCTGATTGGTATGAATAATTCGGCTTTATTTTCAATGAAAAAATCCGTCTGCCTCCGTGAAACACAAACGAAAAATTTGATTCGATACTCTTGTTTTGAATACATGTAAGTCTCGGAACAATCATATTCATGGCGATATTTCCAACCACAGAGAATGAATTTTCTCCAAGAGTCACTCATACAACAGAAACAAAATATATTTGGAGCGAAATGCTCATTCATACTTACTGAAATATGCATAGACAGGCCGAGGTCCAATAGGTATATTTTCCAGATTTGAAACTGGTACGAGTGACAATTTTTTCATGGCAATATGGGCATGTAATGTACACTGGAACATCTTCGAAAGCGGTTTCGGCATCAGAGGATTCCGCGCCATCTGCACCTGCTTGTTTTGTACACTCTTCGTCTTCACCCACTTTCTGTGAAACCAGGTGTATCCTTTCTTCGCTGGTCATGTTTTAAAATTAAACCCGAGAAATATTATAACTTCTTTGAAGAAAACGCCGGCTAAGGTCTCTTTTGAAAAATATTTTTAGGAATCCCAAGTGTTCGGTTCCTAAATATATTTTGAAATTGTTACTTTAAACAACACGACATCAAAATAGCTTATCGCATACCTCATTCGTTAGACGCTGTCTACTTGTGATTTCCTATTGGCCAAACGCGACATCCGCAGCCCTTTGTTGCTCGATTACAGAGCAAATCTTTTCGTCACAATTCGCCCAATCAAGTTAACTCTCTTTCAATCTAAGGAATCTCACTCGACGATAATAAATGTTATTTCGAAATTACTGAAATGATAATTTTCAAGACACTACATAGTTCCATTCACAAAAATTACAAGCTTCTTAGAGATTTAGCAATATAAAAACACTGTCAACATACGGTGTACTTTGGTGAAAAACCATAAATTTCGGTCAAGATGTACATAAGTATCAGTGAGGCTTGATACTGACTATCATTAAACGTTTGAACTGTAAACTTCCATAGCCAAATTAGATTGAAAGTTGTCTCTGCTTCAGTTCCAAACCAGATGATATTAGACCAGATATCAAGACACCTTACATGTGTTTCTATTCAACAGCTAACAGTTGTCTTTTGCGCTTAATTCAAAAACGCTTCTAATATAATACACGTACAATTACTGTTTAAAACATTTTTGCATATAAAGAGTACACGAAAGAAATTGCATTTTTCTTCGTTGTGAAATTCAATTTTGTCAGAACAATCAAACTTCTTTCGGAGAGCGAAAATAGAACTGGATTTTTATTTCGATTTTGATTTGTGGCCGGGAATGAATAAAACATGTAATCTGAAACACGGTTTATTTGAGCTAGATCTTAACTGAGAATCTAATCTACGAAACGCCCGCCCAGAGGAAAACGTTTTTTGATTGAGTTGCAGATTAGAAACTTGAAGATCAATCGAGCTGCAAGCTGAATGGGCGGCTTAGTGTTCTACCACTGTCGAAGTGGCTCTTGCGGTCGGAGAAAATCTGTAGCTACACTAAATTGTTTCAACCATACCACATACGTACGCATTCAAACAGGCAGTGTTTCTTACTGTCTGCGGCACTAGCTGCCGTACACTTTCCTTCCTTTGAGAGGTATTCATAAGGGCAATTTCAAAGTAATAAAAGCGAGCTATTGAGCAAGACAGAAAAAAATCACATGGTGAAGTCTGGGAAATCAACCTTCCACCATATAACGAAACTTTCGGTAAACACAAATGACTTAGAAGACGGATGTGATTGCCGGGTGAAGCATCAGTGGAAATAAAACCAAGTTGCCATTATCGAGGAGTGGTTTTCACTTAACAGACTCTGAGCACTCGTGATAATTACAAGCTGATAGCTTAGAATACTACATTCTTGAAGACAGACCGCACGCTATAACTGATAAGACAATTTTTCCCAGCTATGAGTTCATGCTTTTGTCTTCAAGAAGGTTCCTATCAGTCTAGTCATTGTTAACAGAACATCAGAGCTAACCGAGTATTTTAATATGCGTAAACGGGGCGTTAAGCACGTGGATACTAAAATAGTAGCGAAACACGGCGAAAAGATGAACTTACGAACATTTGCTGCTCTCGATACTTGTGTCACCAAGCGCTATGAGAACCCTGACAGGGTCATTAACATACAGTTCTACACAATGAACCTTTCAGTCGACTCCATGGAGCAGAACTACATATAAATAAATTCTTTCGGCTGTAATCGAGTAGCCGTTCATAAAACAAGCATTAATAATAGCTTATATACCGCTCTGGGGTTCGCCGGAGACTGTCTCTAAGATTCTCACGTTGAGAAAGTCTTAACATACTTGAATCAGATCGTTCATACAGCGTAGATAGAGAAGAAAAAAACCCTTGTTGACTTTTCTCGGCAGCCATCTGCAAATCAAGTAAGTAAATAAACCTCCACCTCACCCCATTTATAGTGATTGAACTGATTCAGCGTTTCGCTATCTAATAATAAAATAATGAAATAGTAACATCACGACTAAGGAAATCACCAAAAAAATCGTGTTTCTTTGAAGTTAATCATTTTATTTTTTAACATGTTTTAACAAAGTCACACGCTCACAGGGAGACACGCATTCATAATCTGCCTTGTTCAATGGTGACATCAATTTATCAGCCACAATCATGGAGTCCACGACTTTTGCATTAACTCTTTAACTCCCAAAAGTGATCAACAAGTAACGTCTCCCTACATTATTCAAGCATTACCCAACAATAGGTAATGAGAATACTAAATCTAATCAGGTAGTAGTTCTAATAACTAATTTACAAGGAAATGTGTAGCAGCTACGGGAGAGAGTTAACATTCAGATCTTAGGAGTTAAAGGATTAATCTTCTCAAAACTACAACATAACTGCAGGTTTCTGGGGAAGCGTACAAAGTAATTCAAGGAGCTAAGTCAAGTCTTACGTATCTTTAAAAAATCATTAGTTCCAATCCGTGCTTATCTTTTCAAACCTCCCTCGCTCTTGTTCCTTTTTGGTATACTTTCCACTCGGCGATGTTCATTTTTCTTTGCGATTCTTAATTTTAGGGTTTTAGTCAATTTAAGCGGAGTTTTCTCTTCCGGAAATAACCTGGACTCTGATGACGTCACACCTTTAAGTCGTACGCAGAATCTGGGGATAACTAATTTCATCCATAGCTGTATCTTACGTTACATAACATGGTGACACGTCTCAAGGGGATTGACAAACATATGGCGCCTCCAAATCTACTGACGGTGTAAAAGCAGCGGGACTCAAAACATGGCCGACTACTTACTACCCCATTTGACTCAACTGACAACAATTAAACTTAAAACATAATATTTGAAGACTTGTAACGCAATCCCTCAATGCTTGGTTAGGTAAATAGCCATAAGAATTCCTCCAAGAGCAACAACCGTGGCTCCGAACACGAGCGGCCATCCGAGAAACTGAAAAACAAAACAGGCAACAGTTCTCAAACTACAAGATCGCTCGACTTCAATTGTCCATAAGGGACTAGTAAACAGACATCATGTGGCACGAGTAGTTTTCTTTCCTCAGTCTTCTTCTATTTTGTTTTGTTTTGTTTTGTTTTTTTGACAAATTAAGTCTCACTGCGTTTCTCAGTTTTTTCAGGGTGTCTACAGGGAACGCAGCAAGAGCTCACATGACCTATAACAAGGGTTCGTTAGAAGGGGGCTTGGGAGGGGGGTCTAATGAATCTGCCGACCGTCCTTTATTTCGTCACCAGGATAGAACCAAATATGATAAAAGATACTAGTATGTTATATATTTCGTTCGTGTATCAACACAGCTTAACCTTACTGAACACAATCTTCTCCTGAAAGTGGCTCGTTAGGAACTTCAGTAGAAAATTGGATATTCTAATACAATAATGTAGTGCAGTAAGGGCCTATTTACACGGTACGACTTTGTCGCATGCGACAAGCTTACGACAGGCTTACGACACGAATTGTTTCGTGTAAATCAAACCTACAACTCGCTTACGACTCTTAAGTCATGTCGTAGGCCTGTCGTAAGCTTGTCGCATGCGACAAAGTCGTGCCGTGTAAATAGGCCTTAAGGGATCACAGAATACAATACGTACCGACCGGTTATTTTTCTTACTACCTCTTCTGGTTAGGTCTCCTACCATTCGTCGATACATAGTTCTTTCGCTTTCTTTTTCCGAAGCCAGTAGTTGTCGCAGTCGATTGAGTTCTTTTCTTATTGTCTGAAAAGTAACCATTGGACTCCTAAGAACCACCGAACCACCAAAATGACTCTTAAAAGGCACAGGGTTTGGAGAAATTCAGTGTAAATTTATGGTGATACAGTTCAGTGAGTCTGTATAATGGAGTGAGGGCACACCCCCGGTCCCTTTCCCTTGTTTTTGGCCTGTAGTCAGACCGCAATTTTGTCACATCCCAGCTTAGAGAAAGAGAATGTAGGAGCAAGTTTCTTTTTAAAAAGCACAACACACTGAAAGATAGATAGATAGAAAGTCAACACTAATACGTAAAAATTGTTCACATAAAAGAAAATCCAGAGTCTTTTGGTACCATCGTGAAGGACTGGCGTACATAAAGGGGAACGCGTTCGGCCCTAAGTTACGTTTGGTGGGCGATAACAGATTTTCCCCAAACCTTTTTTAATACAAACTGGGAAACTTACTGAATTACTTGGATCCAGCTGATCTGCTTTCTTAATAAACCCTATGGCTTGGCCTGTATCTCCACTGGCTGCTAAAACCTGTCGGGATTAATACATGTCTATCAATATCATCACATTGTTGTAGATACAAGGAGGCTACTGCACAGCTGGGAAATTAGTTGGAGAGCATACCTTCCCTTTCCTGAAGAGAGCCTTTACATTGTCAGGATCAACTTGTAATACCTGAGAACAAGATTTCTCTGCCGCAGAGTACGCCTTTATCTAGAAAATAATGATCATTGTCATAATATGATGTGTGTATAAATTCAAAGTTAGCACGGTTTAAACGTCAGGTGATTAGTCCTTTCAATGAGGAACTAGTTACCTTAAGCTGGGCAGCAGCCATGTTATTCCAACATTTCATTCTCAAGTTTTGTACTTCCTGTAAAATATGACATAAGTTGGATTTGTTTATAAATGCGCAACAACATTTCAAAATAAAATAAATGCAACTGCTGGGTAATTAAGTCCAACCATGGCACACAAAAACCAACCGTTCTATTTAATGACTAATCACTAGAGAGGAGGTGCCTGGTGGTGGATATTTACAGAGTCCTGAAGCCACGAGGTAAATATCCACCAGTAGCCACCCACACTGGTTACAATATTTTTGTTGCTTGTAGGTGAATATCAAAGGACACTCAGAGTTTGAGTAAGAAAACAGAGTGTGCCTTCAATACTACCCACTGTTTTAGCAGATACTAACGTATGCTGCCCACCATAACATGACATGATCAGCAGGAGAATAATCTCTCCTTTCAGATGAGATATTACTCTATCAAATGTACTCCAACTCATAGCCTCTTTAAAATATTACACTGGGCTTCAGTAACAATTTGCTATCACCCAATTGAATGTCAGGGTGGAAAGAAGCACTTTGAACTTAGCCTCTCTTTCCCAAGAATACCACAAGGTGAAGGCAAACAAACTGGAATCAAAACCAGATAGAGGGGGAAATGACAAGTGACTTCTTCTCCCACTTCCTCTTTTCTTTCCTCTTCTCCATCTTCTTCTTTTTTTGATTACTTGTAAAAAGTTTTCTTTTACACCCCTTTACAGATAAGGATCACTTATACCATTCTTCTTTTCCCAGCTAAATATCGCAAGAGAAGTCCGAGTAATTGCAAATTGTCATAACCCTATGAACTGCTCTAAGTGGTATCCACATAAACAAATATTGAATGAAAAAATACAAACCTCAGATGTAGATGATCCTAAATATTTTATGGCTCTTAAATCATAAGGAAAAAAAGAAAATCTGTTATTTAGAACAAAGAAATTGCATGAATATATTTATCACTGTAAAAAAGTGGTCTCTTAAATTGGTAAGAAATACCTCTAAAGATCAATATCTAAAATTTATATACCTTTGATAACTGTTGATTGCCCCAGCATAGTCACCTCCAGTGTACAAATCATTTCCCATTTCTCTCTTTTTCTCCCTTGGAAAAAAAAGGAACAGTATAAGTGGCTGTAACTTTGCTAAGTTCAACAGGTTTAGCACCTAGAAAAAATAATCTCAACCTACATATTCAAAAAAGTGTTAAAGAGAAACAACATTTGTTTACACGAAGAAAAAATTAAAAAAAGCAAAGATTGAATCATTTACTAGGCATTTACCCATCTAAATTGCAAATATCTAAGAGAACAGTTTGAGGAAGAAATGTTCTAAAAAATGTTGAAAAGCATTGTTCAAGATCACAAATTTGAATTCCATACCCAATGGAGATTCTCTCTTCATCACTCATGTTATTAATATTAGGACCATCTCGGACTGACAACAGTTGTATTTCATATGTAATTTTAGCATCAGGAGGGATAGGAGGTTTTGCATCAGGCCTGAAAAGGAAGAGAGAAGGATGATAAAATGACATAATTCTCAAGGCCATCTAATACTGAATGACTCCCTAGAGTTTGCCCCTGGTTTTCCTGATAATGTCCTTCATTCTTCAGCCACAAAATAAACCCAATGAAACAAACTTGCAGCAGGTCTATTTCAAGAACTCAGTATGATCATTACAAGCTATGCCAAACAGAAAAAAAGAGCAAAATGGGTTAAAAGCCAAACTTTCAGCTAATCTTGTCAGTCTAATTTTGTAAAAGTGATATACTTTGCTGTGTCTTTGACTTGAAGTGTCAGCAAAAACCTCTGAGTGAACTCAGTAATTAAGACATTTTTTCCTAAACAAAGCAATATTAAAGTAATCTGTAGACAAACATACTTTCCTGCTTTTCCATAAGCATATCTTGCATCTGTAACAAGTTCACACACCTCATCCAACTCCATCAGGGATATTCCTATGTCAAAGGCTGAAAAGGGTTTATTTTTAGAGTCTATATCAAATAATGTTTTTGCACATTATTTTTCAATGAAGAACTTCAATGGGTTATACCTAAACATTTTAAATCTACATATTGCAGCAGTCTTTGAATTTGTCACATAATTTTTTGCACATAAAGCAGTGTTAAAGAAGGTGGATTTTTCCTGCAAGTGCTGATTTTTCACAAACATCATTTAAAGTTATTTATAGTGGTCATCTCTTGAAAGATGCATAAAATCATAGAAAACCAGTGCCTCATTTAAATGTAATCCTCTCAGACTGAGACCAAAGTAATTTTCTGAGCTTAAATCAGAAGGGAAGCATCCTTCTCCTCCCAATTCAAATACCTTGGATAACATCTCCTTCTCCAAGAATGAATTCCAAATTGCTATTCCAGTCAACAGCTGTCCCATCCTCTGTACGTCCAGCTGACTGTATCATAACTCGTTGCCCTTTGTCTGGTCGTGTATCCTGACCCTTCCCTTCACGCAACACCTACTCAAGAAAAAGTAGAAGATAAAGTATCAAGATAAGGATAAGAACACATCATACAGAACACACCCATCCCTTCAACATTTTTGTCACTTAAGGCCTGATTACATGAGCCCAGCTGGCCCAAATCTTGGCACTTTTTTATAGCACAATAAAACCCAACTTTATGATTAAATGACAACTGAGCCAATCCTAGTTAGCCAGGATCCCAGTAATGTCATTGTCTGTTGTTATATAATCACAAAATTGATTTTCCTTTTTTGAAACAAAAGTTCCAAGATCTTGGCAAAACCAAGTCAGCCCTAGCAACTGGGCATTCTGACATCTCCTGAAGGTATGATTAGGCTTGGTAAATTGGTGTAAAAATTTCAGGTTAACCAAGAAACAAGTCAAACCAAGCAGAGATCTCTAACTCAAAAAAACCTTACCCAAGCTATATACTGACAAGACTACTATTGAGAAGAAGAAGAATTTATATAGGTTTATTACTAGCTGGGACATGGCTTTATACCAGCAAACTTGCATGCATTATAAGTGTGTTACATGGCCTTGGATTGAAAATGTTAGTCCTAAGTATTTCACACAATTTACTCCCCTGAATTGCAGTTCAGGATTTTTCACTCAGTGGAAACGAGAATGAATAATTGAGTCAAGTTTATATTCCTAATACCATCAGTTCTGTAAACAACATTAAATTTCACCAGGACTTCCACATCCATAGCTAAAGATCTTGACTTCTGCATGATCTCATGATACCTTACTTTGCATGTTAACCATGACTAAATGGTGCCAAAATTTGGCATTTTGTGCAAAAGCATTTGACAAACTTGGAATTCACTAGGGCATCTTTGGGAATGTTAGGCAACCTTTAAAGATGTTGGGATGCCTTAACCCTTTAACTCCCAGAAGTGATTTACATGTAACTTCTCCCTACAATATCTATATACTATCCAACAAACAGGTAACGAGATTACGCGAACTTATCAATTAGAGGTTGATATTATGATATATAATGGTAATTGAACTGAGTGGAGTGCAATTTGGGCTGTAATAATATACATGAAAAAATTACTTAGTTCTGATTGGTTAAGATAAATGCAGTTTTCAGGAAATTCAGTGCAGAAGAGAGTTAATTCAGTGCAAAAGAAGTAACAAACCAGACATTCTAATTGGTCAATAATCAAAGGAACCCACAGATAGCCAATCAAATGCGAGCCTTGTATGTTGCAACAAAATTTGAAAAATTGCGAGTGAAACAATAGCCAGTATTTTGAGTAGGTTTTCTTTCATCACTGCAGCTGAAAAACAGCTCTAACAACAAAAACACTGCTACAAGCACTGCCTTTTTGGTTGTTGGTTTGGAAAAAGTGTTGTTTAGAGAAGGGAATTGCCAAGGAAATCGAAAATTATGAGCTGACCCGGCTTAAAACTTTGCTTGGTTGTTTTGTTTTTTGGTAGCTTCCTCACTGGCTGTGAAAAAGATGTGATTTAAAGCAAAAAATGGTGCGATTATGAATAATTTGCACCAGTGATTTCAAAATGGGTGTAATAAAACATCAAATTCTTGTGACTAAATTACAAGGAAATGTGTAACAGCTAGATGGGAGAGTTACCAATCAGATCTTGGGAGTCTGGGAAATCCAGGTAGGGTAATCACACATATTTAACTCGGACAGTTCCCATCCAGAACACAGGTGAATAACATTTACAAATGGTACTGGTATTGCCGATCACTTGCACCTGCAAAATATGCGGTCATATGTTGCGTATACCCACGTTTCACCAATTCCTGCCCGTTATGAAGAAACTTAAAATAACATGTTTTTATTACCCTTTTCTTAAGCAGCCCATTGCCCAGTATATCCATCCAAGTATCTTCCGTTTGATCATTAGTCTTTATATCCTTTTCTTCTCCTTCGCTTTCGGACGTTTCTGCTTCTCCTGTCACTTCACTTTTGATCTTCCTATACTCAGCCTTACTCTCCCTATTTGGAGACCTGTGACTGCCACTTTCATGATCAGCAGTTGAAGTTTCCTGAATACTCTTGGAGCTGCTGTTAGTTTCAGCTGGGGATAGTGAAACCTCAGCTTCTGCTTGATTTGTTTCATTTGGAGAGTTCTCTTTCTTTTCAACATTATTATCAAGCACTTTTTCCTGTTCTCCAGGTTCCAATGAATCGAGATTCGGTGTTTCTGAAGCGCTTTGATGTATCGTTCTTAATTCATTCATATTCTCACTGCTCTTTTCGCTCACTTCAGTTCTATCTGTTGAATCTGAAGTGTTTGTCCCATTTTCCAAAGTTCTGTGAACAGCCGGTTTTTGCTCTCCATCGTTGTTCTCAGCCACAAATTCCTTGCTATCTTCAGAGCCGTGAACATCTTCAGCCCCAAAAGTCTTTATTAAATTAATTTCTCCTTGAGAAGTCATAACTTCGTGCAAGTGGGAGTCTCTAGTCGGAAGTGATTCATCTATATCGAAATTCGCCATATTGAAATGATATCAATCTTCAGTTCCCAGGGATTCTCGACCAAAGTAACGACAGACTGTACCACACGACTGTGAATAAATGAAAGTCATATGTAAGAACAGCGCATAAAAGCGTGATTGATAAAGCAATCTTCGCATTAATGAACACTACTTGAGCATTAGTGAAAATGAGGCCTGAATTTTTTTCAGGCCTTATCTTCACTACTGCTCAGCTAGTGTTCATTACTGCGAAGATCGCTTTAATATTCACATCTTTATCCGCAGTTCAAATGTGACTTTCATTAATTCACAGTCGTTCATTCACCTCTTCACGGGTTTATTTGGAACTCAAATTTGGCTTGTTAGCTCAGATGGTAGAGCGCTGCACCGGTATCGCAGAGGACATGGGTTTGAATCTTTTATGAATGAATGAATGCATTACATTAAGTTTCTAAATTCGTATGGTAGCCAAAAGGGAAACTGTTTGTTAATTTCTCTCTTTTTTTTTAACGTCCTTTCTCGATTGCGATAAACATTTAGGAGATACAAACGAAAAGTAATTACAATGAACTATTTTTTTCAGCGGACACCCTTTGGACTAGGTACTTTACGGTTAATACAGGATCAGAAGATATCCGCTCTTCAACTGCTTTTACATTATCTCTTTAACTACACCCATTTTGAAATCACTGATGGTCCCTGTAATCTGATTGGCTCTTACTGATGCGATTTATTCACGAATCGCATCATTTTTTGCTTTAATTCGCATCTTTTTCCCAGCCAATGAGAAGGCAACACTAAAAACAAAACAACCAATCAGATTTCAAGGCTTGTTTAAAGTAACCAATCAAATTGCAGGAAAATGAAAGACAAAGAGTAACATGTGGCAACTTTTGTTTCCAAAAGTCTTACTTTTTCCCCCCAAAAAATGGATTAATTTAATTTCAGACCAGCTCAGTATTGCATCAATTAAATATTTAAACTGACCAAGTCCTGTATTTGGGCGATTTCAACCTCGCGTCGTGCAATTTTGGTCTGAAATTATTCTTGTGATTTCACATCGAACTCGCACTGCGTGCCCATTCGATTTTGAAATCACACGTATGATTTCAGCCCAAATTGCACTTTACTCAGTTCAATTACCATTATTAATCAACGACTCATCAAACATCTGTTATTAAACCAAGTAAAATCATCTTACTTGATTATTGTACTTTTAGGTCATTCAGCAGTCATATTATAATTTCACAAATGTTGGTAAAAATTTTGTCTTGTTGTAATGGTAACCAATACACTACAAGTGTAGTATCTCATGCTTGATAAAATAATTACTGATAAATAATTTTAATCGGCTACTTCAACAGCGAGTCTATATCAAGCGGCCAGAGTTACCATCAGTACACGAAATACAGCTGTAGTTCCTACTATTCGGAACAGTTTGAAATCAGGAAAGAAAGCATGCTGATGTTTATACATTTACACCAAGAGCATGGCTTTTCAAAGAAAATGTGCTAATCCATTCAAAAGTATTTGATTGCACGAGAAACCATGAACAGAATAACAGGTTTTTTGAATTAATATTTCTCTCAGCTTGAAACATATTTCAAGCCGAACCTTTTTACTTTAGGATGTATTCTTAAGTATTACAACCGACTCTTACAAAGCGTCTAGATTCTGTGTGGATGGTTGAAATGAAAACAAATGCACTTAATGACACCTCCACGCTTCTTCAACATATTCTAACATGGCTCATGGAGAGTCACTTCGCCTTGTTTCCCTTTCCTTTTCCTTTCGTTTCGGACCGCTTCTGCGCCTTTCGTGACGTTGTTTTCCCCTGCTGACTGTATTTTTGGTCATCGTTTCTAAATTTTAAAAAAAGTGGAAAAAAAGACCATGAAGTACACCCCAAGCACGCCACCTCTTCTGCTCGACACCCAAGACATCCTCAAGAACATGCGCAAACACCTTACCTACTCATAGTGAGCTTGTCACGACATCCTTTGCCCCCTTCCCAATGGGTAGAACGTGACTTGGTCACGGACGATTTACAGCCATTACAAGGACGCTGGGAGTATGGCTGAAAGAATCAAGCAAAACCGGCTTAAATCGTTTACACAAAAGAATACATGTTGCCGTGTTTCTTGGAGTCTTTGTTTAAAAGCAGGAATCCTCCCACATTAGCAGCTGATATCCTAATTCTTTTTAAGTTGGTTTTATTATCATTACTTGCAATGCTAACCCCACTCATTATTATCAAAAATTGTGAATTTCAAAATTTGAGGTGTCGAGGGATAATCCCTTTGTCAGTCGAACCTCCAGTGATTGAACCGGATCACGAAAATATCAAGCCTGTGCCAGCTAGTGACGGGCTCGTGCAAGCTGTCTTCAGGGTTGTTTTAATCTAGGCTATTGGAATACATTGCTTGTTCTTCTAAAGCTATGATCACCTCAATTATTTGAGGGCTGAAAAAAAAAAAAAAAAAAAAAAAAAAAAAAAAAAAAAAAGGATGCACCCCTTTTCCTTTGATGGTGGATATTACGCCAATTCCTTCCCCAACGAAGAAAAACAAGGACAGCTGTAACATCGGGAGAATGAACAAAGCAAGCGAACAGGGTAAACTTCATGGATCAGATCTAACTCCACTTTAAACAGGTTAAGAATCCATTCCACAGACACTTCCTGTACAAACTCACTTGTTCTTTGGAGCAAAAGCCACAAACCATCCGCGTGGCATATTTCATTTCGTGACTTTCTTGTTCTTCATGACATAAGTCACATGGATAACATTTTCCACAACAAGGAAACCTTGAAAAGAGTATAAAATGCTCGTTAAAGCTACATACAGGAGTGAACGAATGATCTGGTAAGAGGCTCCTGCACTTAGTAAATACAAAATTCTATCAGTGTTAGGGAGGTCATCAATTTAAATTTTTAAAAGAGATTTAATTTTATCTGGTGTCTAACGCCAATGACAACTGAACATGTTCTAAAACTGCAATCAAGATCTTCAGCAGCAGCAGTGAAACACCTTACCAAGAAATAAGTTTTTCTCTTTTATGAGTTTGACACAGTTTTAATGCATTACCCAAATCAACCAGTTTACTTCAATCTACAATGGAAACATTTTGAAAAAGGCAAGTACTCAGGGTTAGTACTAAAGTGTAGTTATCTTTTAACACCCTAAGTTATCAACATCATAAGTTTACCTGAGCCACCTGTAACTTTTCTTGTAGTGTTTACACGTTCCATTACCAGGTAATGGCTGACCCTCCTTGATTCCTGAGTTCTGAGCTAGCCTTTTAGGCTTGGAGGAAGTATTTGAATCTTTACCTTTTTTAAGGGAGGCTAAAGAAAGGTATTATGAAATTTACATTAGTATCAGATGATTCTTCACTATCTTAACACTGTCAAAAGATAGTAAAAAAACAAGAAGCAAGCAATTGGTATAATGATGATGTTCAGTCAACTAAACCCACCAAGTAAATAGGTCTAAATACCCCTGAGGCCAATTTTTGACAAAGATACTGAAAACACTCTAATGAGCCTCTGAGGGTTAATTTATTTCCATGGTTTTCAGATGGGGGGAGGGGGGGAAGCTTGATTGGTAGACAGGCCTATTAGAAAGGGGGGATTGTTTAAGTTGAGGGCTTACTGGAGAGAAAGGTTTATTGGATCAGCCCTACTATTCAATTTGTATATGTATAAATTCCTGAATAATCAGTATGCATGCAGAGTACTGAGTACAATGCTATCAAAAGTATCTGTTTTAAAACCTGCTTGGGTTGCATCATTCTGTAATTCTTGAAAGTGAGTTGACTGCATGCGGAATCCAAGCTTTGAATGGCAATGCCTACACCAGCTCCAGTTGGCTCCATACTGCAGTCCCTACATAATCACATGATAAGTTTGAAGTTGCTGTCAGTACCTTTCCTATTTGTGAGACATTCTTATTCAACAAGATTTTCCTTGCTGTTCAGTCAGGATTGGCATACACTCTTTTTGTAAGTTTTACAAATCACTATTAAATAGTAACATTTCAGGCCATCAGTGATCTTTGTTCACTCCAATTTCTTTACATAATTACAGCTTTATTGTGAGGATCTTGCATTTAGTTGGGTGACCTTTGTGAATGATTCATTTCCTGATGAGAAAGTTATTCCTGTACATACTTAATGTAATCATTGATGTGGGTCAGTGATGATTAAGGGAACTAGAATACTTATAACAGCAAAGATCATTATTACTACTGACAGTAACTATTAATAAAAGTAATTTAAGATCTCAAACGTTTTAGTAAGTACATATCAAGACACCATTTGATGGCTGTTTCAAGTATCACTAAACTAACCTTCACTGTTGTTTCTTTAGAACAGTTTAAACAACCTATCTTCAATTCACTCTCTGGTAGAACCACATCAAATGGAACACAGCTGAATGTGATAAACAAGACATGTATAACATTGACAAATTTAAGATCTCAAAACAACAGAAGGCAGAAAATAAATGAGAGCAAAAAAGGGTCCAGTTTTGTTTCAAGGTATTTCTTGAGACTTCTGTCCAAGGCATAAAAGGCAATATTTATAAGCAAGCAAGTGAACTAGCACTTGGTAAAATTAAAAAAAGTTTGGATTCTAAAAAATGAATGATTCATGAATGAAATGAGAAAAAGTGCATGTGGCATTAAACCTGTATGTGCCAACTTGAAGTTCATGACTATTATTTCAGCCATCATTGTTTAAAATGGTGACCCACAGGAAAGTATAGAGATTTTCATTCCAATGCATTTAAGTTTTTGTTTTGTTTTGGGGAAGCAGTATACTGTTTGAATGTGAAATTAAAAATAATTTTATTACACAGTTCAATTTCATTGATCTCTTAACTCACCCATCCAAGTCTAAATATCCTAAAATCGAAGAAAACTGATGAATAACAGCTGGTCTGTAGGTGACAGCAAAGACTGAAGCACATCTGATACATTGCTTACAAACAGATCTGTAATAGGAAGGAAGTAAATTGAAAT